AGATTTTACAAAATAAGCCTGGGATCCTAGCTCAATTCTCGCCAAAGAAATACTGGTTTTAACAAAACCTAGTTATACTAAGATAATAATGAAGTGTTGATTTGGCGTGGTCACATTGAGGATTTTCAAAAATAAAATTGTATCACATTTCATTTTTTTTATTCCTAGGCATTCAGTGAGAGCACATCAATTCAAGGGAACCAAAATGTAAAATATTGGAAAATAAAATGAACTTATAGAGAAATATTTAATTGTAAAGCATTCTACGCTGAGAAAGACTGAAACTTTGCATGAGGACGCCTGCATCTCATGCAGATTTATGTTTTAATTGATCGAATGTTACCCGCTTTACGTTCAGTGGCAAATATTTCACCAAAGAGTTGTCGCAAGTGACATTCAAATCCTGTAAATGCGAGGTACTTGATTTAACGTCCTTCCTCCGACCCGACGTGGATGCTTATTTATACATCCCACGCTTAGGAAAGGGTTTTACTGTTGGAACCTGACATTTCTTGGAATTAATATATTTCAATACCCAACTCAACCCTTGAGATTGATTTAGTATTTAAACAAATTAAATCGAATTGTCCTGCTGCTTGGTTTTTGAACTAAGACTTTTTCATATTCAGTACGAAGTAAACTTACATCAAGGAGGTTGTATACAATCTTCTTGATCAAATCATTTAATTATGTAAATTAAATTAAATATATATATTTTTTTACCGTACTTACCTATAATGGTTTACTTTTATAAATTTTTACTTGGATGGAGAGTTGTCTCATTGGCACTCATACCACATCTTCTTATATCTATTTGTACTTACAAATATCGCATAAGTCTTCTGGATATTATTGAACAGATATTAGAAAAAGGTAAGGTTGCAGTGTAACTCAAGAATGTTCTTATATACTAGAGCTATTTTCAAACAGTCATTTAATCTTTACTACCAATTAAGAATTGATGAAATTCTTACCAAATTATACATGCTTAAAAATGGATGAAAATTTCAATCTTAAAAATTTATCATTGCTCTTGGTTGAGTATTTAACAACTGGGGAAAAAAATGAATTAAAGTGACATGCATTACAAAAAAAAATTCTATTGGAAGTAAAAGTAAATTGGGTTTTTTTCAAATATAATTGAATTTGGGTTGCTGTCTTATTGACCTTGATCCAACTATCATTTCATTTATACTGATAATACACATTATCACTATTTGTCCACCATTACTGGACATCACAAAGGTTTCCCGTAAAATGTTGACGTCACAATAGAAAATGTCTGACGTCACAAAGGAAAAGTGATTGTTGTATGACGTCAAAAGTTTAAGTGGCGCAGATTCTCGGGTCAAGTGGTGCAGATGATCAAATAGCGATAAAGTCAAAGCGTTACATGCCTTCCTCAATAAAATGACCGATGCGAATTGTAGGAATTAATCCTTTTTTGACCCTACATTGTATGTATAGCAGGTGGGAAATGCCGTAAATTTACACAAAATTCCAATTGCCGAACAACCTCTGTGATTACGGACATTATGCACATGTACATGTACAATGATTTTAAACGTGCAGAAAGACATACTCATTTGATTTTTGTAACAAATGATGTTATTTTTTTCAATGTTCAATTTGTATACAGCTGTCATTACTTAAATCGATTAATCAGCATGCGTTCATGTATATACATTTACAACTTATTGTATTTCAACGCTCTAACATTTTGAGTGTCTGCGAGAACAGGTAATGCAATTATATATTCTTTTGAACATTTTTTTGGTTTTTAAAATTAGAAAATGTAAAGTGGGCATATCCTTCGAACGCACCGATCATTCTGATTCTGTGTGTGCAAAGGTGGGATGCCTTTTAAAATTAATTATTTGCTTGTCTAACGGTTTTTTTTTTTTTTATTAAAGTTTAAAGTTGTGTGTCCCGAAAATACCCCTCCCCAAATTAGGATGAATGGTCTGTACCTCATATATTAATTTTTGCGTTACATTTGGCTGTCTGTTGAATGTAACGGGTGTTTGAAAATACTGTCTATAAATTGATATGTTCATTTTCTGTAAATATTTATAAAATTTTGAATTATTCAAAGCACTTATGTTTTTTTCTACCAAAAGGCATAGACTGCCTTAGTCGTGTTTGGCACAACTTCGAAATTTTTCGTATTGGTTGCTCTTCAACTTCGTATTTGATTCGGCATTTAAACTGTTTTGATTCGAGCGCCACTGATGCGTCTTATGTTTACGAAACGCGCGTCTGGCGCACTAAATCATCAGTCTAGTATCTTTGAATTTTTTTTCTAGATGTCATACTACAAAATTGTGGTTATATTAATCTCTTGGTTAATGTTTTGAGATTCACTATATTTAGTCGTTAAAAGATAAAATTTCACAGAAAATACAAACATTTAAGGTAGAAAATACCAACATATGGCTAAAATTGTGACTAGGGCAGCCTGTGACAACCAACAAGAATAAAAGAAAAAAAAACTCTTCTCAGTATTAAATTAAACCGTCTCCAAAAGTAAAGTGCTGAATAATATCATAATTTTATAAATATACGTGTACTACAGTGTAAGCTTAGGATATGTATGTATGTATTCTAGAGTAACATGTAACATGAGTAAAAAAAGGAGATAAATACAAAACAATTAAGCTGTAATACTGTAATACTGAGTCTGGAATTAAAGATTAAATTTCATCCAGTGTCACAGTCTTTTATATTATCCGTTAATCAACAAGGATAGTCAACATATGCAGATGTTCAAAGGACACATGGCGAGTCTGACAAGATCATAAATTTTATCAATAATTAATTTTAATTCACTAACAAACAACTGATAAGACTTGTTTCTTGTTTAGAGAAGTATAACACACTAAAATATGATACAGTTCATATTTACACTATGACAACGTAAACTTTCGTTTCTGAATTGATTTTGGAAATACGAATTACTCTTGATTGGGATTAATATGAAACGATAAACGATAATTTGCAATTTAATTGGTGAGTTTATTCACTCCGAAAAATTTCAATATACAAAATTACATTTTAACATAAAAATAAGGAGATGAGGTATGATTGCCAATGAGACTACTATCAATCAAAGTTCAAATAAAGTGGATGTAAGCAATTATAGGCAACCGTACGGCCTTCAACAATGAGAAAAACCCATACCGTATAGTCGGCTATAAAAGGCCCCGACATGAAAAATATGAAACAATTCAATTGAGAAAATAAACGGCCTAATTTATAACAAAACAATTTACGAAATAAGTCGAAAAAGAACTGACAATGTTATGGCAAATAAAGAGAAAACAAATATGATAGACATGAACCAACGACAACCACTGAACTACAGGCTCCTGACTTGGGACAGACACATAAAGAATGTGGCGGGGTTAAACATAAGTGTTCATTATAAAAGCTATCTATTTAGGATGTGTTTTATCTAATTGTAGTCTTTCAGATACATGTTAATCTATTTTTCGTTTGATCTATTAGAAAATATGCAGCTTGACATTTTTTAAATGAGAGATTTTCATTCTGCAAAATTACCTAAAAGTGCAGTCTAAAGGTTTACAGGCATATATGGTTGTTTAAAATGTGAATTATTTCCCAACATTTAGCAGGATTTTTTTTAGAGTAAAAGGACAAAAAAAATTCCATACCTAATTATGTTCAGCTACACATCTTTATTACATTCATGTGATTTCAAGATAAATCCCCATACAGGTAAATCTCACCAGTTCCTGAGTATTATTGCATTACTCATAGTCACGTTATTTGCTTCATTATTAATAGAATTTCTACCAATGTTCAAAATTCATTTAACATTTTTAAGGCTAGAAATGTTTCCAACGAACTAACTCCTCCAAATAATCTTATTAAGATTTTATATTTTAAGTCTAAGTCTGATAGTTTGTTGGAAGAAATTTCTTCCGACTTTAGAACAGCAATATGTTTTTCATTTTAGATCTAAATGTAGGTCTGATCGTGGAAGTAAAATGAAATGAAATATAATACTTCCATGGTCTGACAGAAAAAAAATCTTCCAACTTACTAACTACCACATGTATTTCATTTTAGGTCTGAATGTAGGTCTGATAGAAGAACTTTCTTCCAACGGACTAACTGCGTTAACTATTTCATTGAAGGTTTGGTAGAAGCAATTTCTTCCAGCTTACTAACTGCCACAAATATTACATTTTAGGTGAGGTTTGATAAAGAAATGTCTCCCAACGATCTAACAGCTACATGTGTTTCATTTTAGATCTAATTGTAGGTTTGATAGAAGAAATTTCTTCCAACGAAATAAAAGTTTAGATTAAATATTTCATTTTAGGTTTAAATCTGATAGAAGAAATTTCTTCCAACGAGCTAATGCAACTTGAAGTAATTCATATTACATTTGATAGAAGAAATTTCTTCCAACGAGCTAATGCAACTAATTCATATTACGTTTGATAGAAGAAATTTCTTCCAACGAACTCACTGTCATAATTATCATATTTTAGGCCGAAGTCTGATAAATGAACTTTCTTCCGATGAACTTACTGCTCCAATGATTTTATTTTGTATCGAATAAAACAAAACTTCTTCCATTAAACTGACTTCTGTATGTACTTCTTTTTAAGTCTGATCGAAGAAATTTCTGACGTGGAATATTCTCATAGTTTAACACTTGTTTCTAATTTTGTTTTTTCTTACGGGGCATTAAGACCCGGTTTTGGCCCCAAAAAAAGTTTTTGAGAAGTATTTCAAATTTGCACATAATGTTGGGAAATGCGTAAAATCAAGATTTTTGTTTTTTTTTTAGCTTGCAGTGAGGTTTGGATTTTGATCATTGTTGGAGGGCGTACGGTGACCTATAGCTGTTAACTTCTACGTCATTTGGTTCATTTTCTTATTTACTTAAACTAAGTCAAATAAAGAAATTTTTGTCTTATACCGGGGTAAATTGATATCTAACTCTCATCCTTCATTTTCAGATTGATACTATTAGTTTACAGTAGTGTCTATGGAGTCGAATGGTACAAACCAAACATTATTTGCTGTCGGTAAGTCACATGTTTATGGAGTCGAATGGTACAAACCAAACATTATTTGCTGTCGGTAAGTCACATGTTTATGGAGTCGAATGGTACAAACCAAACATTATTTGCTGTCGGTAAGTCACATGTTTATGGAGTCGAATGGTAAAAACCAAACACAATTGCTGTCGGTAGGTCACTTGTCTATGGAGTCGAATTGTAAAAAACACACACAATTGCTGTCGGTAAGTCACTTGTCTATGGAGTCGAATGGTACAAACCAAACATTATTTGCTGTCGGTATGTCACGTGTCCACGGAGTCGAATGGTACAAACCAGACATTATTTGCTGTCGGTAAGTCACGTGTCTATGGAGTCTAATGGTACAAACCAGACATTATTTGCTGTCGGTAAGTCACGTGTATATAGAGTCGAATGGTACAAACCAAACATTATTTGCTGTCGGTTAGTCACCTGTCTATAGAGTCGAATGGTACAAACCAAACACGTTTTTCTATCGGTAAGTCACGTGTCTACGGAGTCTAATGGTACAAACCAAACACTATTTGCTGTCGGTAAGTCAAGTGTCTATGGAGTCGAAAATCCACACACAATTGCTGTCGGTAAGTCACGTGTCTATGGAGTCGAATGGTACAATCCACACACAACTGCTGTCGGTAAGTCACGTGTCTACGGAGTCTAATGGTACAAACCAGACATTATTTGCTGTCGGTAAGTCACATGTCTATGGAGTCGAATGGTACAAACCAAACATTATTTGCTGTTCATAAGTCACAACGTGTTTAAACATTTGAGTCGTATAAATTATATAGTCTTACAAAGATAATTTTTCTGACTTACATATACAAAGAAGACAAGGCAAGATATGTAATTTCATTCTATAAAACCACTGTATTCAAATGTACAAAGAATAAAATAATAAAACATTTCACTGGTTGAAGTACTTATTGTCAGAATTTTTTTTAAATGAGAACTAAACTTTGACGTTGACATGTAATCAACGTTTGATACTTCTACATTATATTGTATCTTTTGTAACAGATCTCGTTACCTATACTTTAACTATTGTATAAAATATACTTATATCAAAAACCAATGTGTACATGCATTATCCTTAATACAATTCTAATAAATGCATAAAATTTTTGAAGACTTTAGGACAAGCAAGGTACATATACTGCAATTGTGGTATGTAAGAATCGCTTTTTACATTGAAATCCCAAGGGTGACATAGGAATGGAAATATGGTTACTTTTTGGTCTTCTTACGACCTGCAATAAAACCCTTACTAAAGTGAGGCGTCCTTTTGATTGTGCGGGATATGTAAGTAAGCAGTTCGGTCCGATCAGAATATGGACGTAAACATCCGATGTCTTGTGTAGGGAGAATTTCATGCTTTCTGTACAATAAGGACCCTCGCAACTACTCTTAAAGAGATCATTAGGTGGCCTGTTGCAAAGCTAAATTTCTTTCCCTATCCAATACTGTGACTTCATTTTCTACTGGCAGTCCAAATTTCCCACCCTTCACCCCGGTCGACTTCTATAACATGACGTTCCTATTGTATTCATTGTTATTTTTTTTTCTCGTCCTGAACATGCATGACATATTTGCCAATGGACGTTACGCAATTATCGATCAGTCTATTTTTCAAACTGAGGCGAGGTTTATTTTTTGAGTGGTAAAAAGGGGGTAATCCAATTTGAACCATTTGTCATAGCCACATTACAGGAAGCAATTCCGTAAAAAAATTGACCTCAGTGCAAACCTATATCCTGAATTAAGTTTATACCTGTTTTACCATTAGAAATCAGAAGCTTTCATAGGGTCATGTGGCATTTTTGGCCATTCACATAGCCTTGTTTACAAACACTGTAGATTCGCACTAAATTCCTACAGCAGTGACATCATTACTTTTCAACCCTGCAGTATAAAAATACCAAGTACATTCAACATTCATTTTTAATTATTTAACCCTAGTTTTGATCCATCTATTATAAAATATTTATAAAAACATTATATACCAGTCAGTGGAGCACAAGGCTTTAGTGTTATACAGAAGGCTCTCCAAATGACGGGGGGTCCTTAATGACGTATATTTATTTACTGAATTTACCCCTACAAATGCGTTGATCGTTTGATACTTTGGTCAATATAAAATAAAGAAATAACTGTATGAATGCCATGAGAAAACTATCAATAGAGACCGAAAGAGAAAAAGTTGTTTGTGAAGAAGAACAGGTCAACGTAAGGCTGTCAACAATAAGCATTAATACTGCAACAATGAACGAACACGAAATACGGGACACAACATTTACAAACTCTTGGCTTTGTACAGGCGCAAGAAAAGTGGCGTTATTTAACTAATACGAATTGTCAAAAGTTATGCTATTATCCATAGACATATCCATTTAAAACTGTTCTCTAATGGAAAAGTTTTATATTTTACAGGTCAATATCCAGGAAGATGGGGATTTTGGACACAGCAGATTGTAACGCCAATTATAGTCGTTGTTGGAATTGCTGGAAATCTTGCGTCGTTTTTCCTAATGAAGACAAAGTCGTTCCGAAAGAAATCTTACAGTCACTTCCTATGTGCTTTGGCAGTATTCGACAGCCTCTGTTTGATAAATCGGCAAATAACATTAATTCACGAAATGATGGTGGACAATGAAAAAGATGGCGTCTTTACGTATTACAGCGACCTCTCGTGTCAACTATTTAGTTTTTATGAACACGTGTGTTATCTCATGTCATCTTGGCTAATTGTTGGAATGGCGGCTGAGCGAGTTGTAGCCATGTGTTTTCCTTTTAAGAAGACATTGATCAGAACTCAAACAGGGGCAATAGTGACAATAATATCAACATTCGTGGTCATGTGTTTTACCCAAATATTCCGTTTTATCATGATGAAAAATATCGGGGGAGTTTGCCAAGGCGATACGTATAAACATTCAGAGTACATCAAACTTCATATTTATTTTTACCAATTAACACTGGTACTTTGCCTTCCGTTTTTACTGGTCCTCCTATGTAATACCTCAGTCATGTATCAGATATACCGCGTGCGAAAAGCAGCCGTCAAATCAAGGTCACGCGTTGTAACGAGATCTCACAAATCAACGCTAATGTTATTAGCCATCGCCTTCACATACCTTATAACCATGTTACCGTTGGTGGTGATATCATTTATTTGGATGGTTGCCATGAAAAACGCAGATGTATCAATGGTTTTCTCCCTTTATCCTATTCAACAGTTCGTGTCCGTTATATCCTATTGTAACTATGGTGTTAACTTTTTTATTTATATTATATCAGGTCGATCTTTCCGATTGGAATTAAGGCGCATCTTCTTGAAGGAACAACTTCAAAACACGTCAGCTACAAGAACCAGAGAAGAATTTCTGCGATTGCAATGAGACTTGAATTTAAAACACGTATAGTATTCGATGTTTTTAAATAATTTGCAATAAAATTTCCACTAAAAAATGTTGGGAACTGTGTCTGATAGTTACCTTGATGTAGGGGCCTCGGTTGCCGGATGGTCTAAGTAGTTCATCAACAGTTAATACGAGGTTGTCAACTCTGATGTTGTAAATTCGAACCCCGCATGTGGCGAAGTTTGTTTGAATTATATCTTAACTGACAAGGATTGCTAGTTTGGTTCTCTCTATATAGTCCTGTCTCCTTCACCATTAAATCTGGCAGTCATAATAAATCCAAGTTCGCTTATAGTGGCGTTCAACACCAACAAACAAACAGATAATTACATTGATGTATCATATTCTCAAAACAAGGTTTACAAATTCATGTGCCAGTTCAATCGTTATTCGACTAAAGGAAGTAATATTTTAATGAAGCCTAGTTGGTCAAGTGGTCGTCTTGGACCTAGTGCAGATATAACATTGTTGGACTAAAAGACGAAGTATACATATAAGTATATATAAATAAAAATGTTAGCCCTGTGTAACCACGGGGTATCCGATGGAGTACGTCAGACGTAAAGTTGTTTCATGTTTAGACGTATAAAAATAAATAAAAAAAAACATATATACATATTTCATTCTCATTTCTTTCTGTATAACCAGTCACCCCTATACTAATTAATACTCTGTATATATATAGGAATTTCATGCAAATCTCAAACCCGCCATATTGTCATGGTTGTCCGAAGTCAGGAGGAGTGTCAGATCGTTAGAGTCTCTATCGAATTTATTCACAAAATCACAACTGTCGGCAGATGCACGGGCCAATTCATCTTGTTTCAGAATCAAATGCGTTCTGGGTAATATTTTCAAAAGTGACACCAAAACGCTTTCATTGGCTTACAACGTCCAAAACAATTGAAATTCAACCAATGACGTGACGTTGTTTTCATTTTCAGGTATGAACAATGAGATTAACCATGGTCCTTCAGATTTTGAAAAATGCGAAATAAGCTTGACGCTTTACGTTTACTTCTAGGCGCTTTTTGGTTGTTGGTGTCAATATCGTTAGGTTGCTGTTTTTGCAGGGGATTAGAATTACGACAAGTTCCACTAGTAGCGCCAGAACTGTTTACCATTCGAAGCTATTGCGTTCACGTCCGGTTTTTGGTTGAAATCGTTTTGCCCACTCGCTTATTTTCTGTGATGAGTTTTTGGAATAATGTTCTTCTTTTCGTTGTCATTATTTTTGGTCTGGCTGTTGTATGTCTTGTATGTATGTTTTTCTTTATGTTTTTTTGTTGCCTCCTTAGCATTTTTTCCATCTGTTTTATGAAATGTCAACTGTCTTTAATTCATTTACAAGAATTGACTGTGATATTCATTGTTTATATATAATTAAAAGAAGTTATACGCCAATGAGACAACAATGCAATGAACACAGTATTAATATAAATGATTTGTTCAATTATTTCATATATCAGTTATAATGGCCCCTAAAACAACCCATCCTCATAAAAAGGGAAATAAAATAAAAGGAACAATAAATAGATCTTAATACATACTAAATATACATCCACGGAACTTCCATATTTAGTTGTCTCTCATATTTAAACAAAAAACTATAATTTTTCAATATGCAAGCAAAACTAAACGTCCATAACAATTTTGTTTTATCATTTCTTGATCTTGACATATTTCAATGTAAACCTCTGAGGTATACGGCAATGCGACAACAACATCCCCGACAACACAATAAAATCCTAAAGATAAAAGTTTTGCATTTACATATTACATACCAGTCTTTTAGAAGACTGAAAATAAAGGGGACCAGATGTGAATATGCTTCGACGATTATATATAATAGTACATCAACGGAAAACAACAGATCACAACAACCATCAACATCCAACTTTTCCCAAAAAATAAAAACAATAAAACAAAACAATGAACACAGAAAGATAATTGATTTGCTGAATTATTTCAAACATCAGTTAATACGGGCCACCCTCATAAAAATAGAAATAGAATAAAAAGAACAATGAGCAGATTTTAATACAATCATACTTAATATACATCCCAAGAACTTCCATATTAATTTATCTCTCATATTTAAACAAGAAACTATTTTTAAATATGCGAGAAAAACTAAGCCTTCATAATTATTCTTTTTTTTTTTTTTTTTATTATTTAGTGATTTTGACATATTTTTAGGCAAATCTGTGAGGTTTATGTCAAGTGCAATGAGACAACAAAAGAGGGGCGAAAGATACCAGATTGACATTCAAACTCATAAGCTGAAAATAAACTGACAACGCCATGGCTTAAAAAGAAAAAAACCAACAGACAAACAATAGTACACAAAACACAACATAGAAAATTAAAGACTGAGCAACACGAACCTCACCAAAAACTAGGGTTGATCTCAGGTGCTCCGGAAGAGTAAGCAGGACCTGCTCCACAACACACGCAAACAACACTCTCAACAAGACAATACAATGAGAAGGGCATCTTGCATTTACTGTTATATACCAGTCTTTTGAAGGTAGAAAATAGAGGGGTTATAGTATACTAACGGAAAACAGAATTGCGCCAAAAAAGTGGACAGCACAACAAACCACACCAAGCACCAACATCCGACTTTTCCAAAAATAAATATAGACATATAAAGAAAGACAAACCATAACGAACAACACACTGTGCAGATACACGCATGCTGACTTGGTACAGGCACACACTGTGGTGGCACACACTGTGGTGGAGATGCACCAGTTTTAACTGCGCACAAACCCGCCCTTTTATCTTTTTATAACCGTTTGTCGTAAAACCAAAGCACACATTAAAAAAATTTAAATAAACAAAAATAAACTTCTCATTTGTTGTTTGATTGATGAATGACAAACTAAGGACGATTTTATATTCATAAGATATAATTATACGCTGGTTTGCACTCGACCGAAACCATGGACACCCTGCATAGAATTTTATACGAGCTGAATGGCAAGTTAATAGTCTGTACAGTCTGTACATGTATATCTCCTTATTCAGATAAATGTATCTTACTACAACCAATATAAATCTCAATCTTTAATACCACGTGTAGAGCGAATAAGCAGGAAATACCAATCGTAAAACTGTTTGGCATACTTGGGTCGGAATCAAACAATAACTTCCAACACACGAGGCGAGTATAGCTCCACGAGCGAGACATTAGAGGTGCTCATTTATATATTTTTTATTAAAATATCCCAATAACATTTGGTCTTCTTCCGACCAGAAGTTAAACCCTTGCTAAAGTAGGGCGTCTGTTTGATTGTGTTGGTTGTATAAATTCACAGCCACGTCCTGTCAGAATGTCTCGTGTAAAAAGAATGCCACGCTCTCTGCATGCACGTTGAGAATCCTTGCAACAACTCTTTGAGGGGTTCGTAAGTGAACTGCCGCAAATCAAAATTTCTGTCCCTATCATATCTACCCTCATTTTACCAGTGGCTTTCCTAATTACCCGTCCTCCATCATAAACGATCCCCCTATTGTATGTATTGTTAATAAGTTGTCGTCCTAAACATGCATGGGATATTTGCCACTGGAAATTAAGCAATTACCAACAATCAATCATATAATTTCTATATAATTATACTATATATACACTACTCAGGTGGTCATTTATGATACATTATTTGAGATTGCATAAATATTATGCTTTTAAACGAATTATAGACGCATTCAATAAGACATTGATGAATATCAAGACACATATACTAAGTAGACATAATGCCTATCTAACCTAGGCTTATATTTCATTATAAAAAATATAGGAGATTTGGAATATATGTAACACGTCTTCTGATTTGCTGAAAGTATTTGTCTATCAGCTCATAGACATAATTGTGTCATACGACCGTGACGTCATCAACGTTTTTTCATGATTTACTCCTTAAAATAAATGTATGTAATTTAGAATTAAATTATAAGGAATGACTGTAATATTTGTTCTGTCTATTCGAAATAACATCAAAAATGTGGTGCACACTTTTAAATAACACGATACGCGGGTTATTCTTTGTGCACCACATTTTTTGATGTTATTTCTTCATAGATAGAAAAAATATTACAATCATTCATTGAATAACACGGTGATTTATCAAATCAATAGACAATTATTGTCCGTATATTTTAACATATAATGTTAACCCGAATAATTCAGTCTCTCCCCGTAATCGATCTCTCCTTCTTGCGAGGGCATGAATTCCTCACACGCAAACAACTCTTCAAGAATCCTGGATTTTGATTGGTGCCAAGCAAAAGAGGTGACCATTTTATCGAGATACGTAAATCCCGAGTTCATTCCGAATGACTGTTTGAAGATTTTTCATTGTCTATATATTGTAGGCCTTAATGTAGTAATCGTAGATCAGTGGAATATAACGGACGAATTATTCGGATAACATAGAATGTATGAATTTTGTGAATGTCGAATTTACGCCAGAGATGGCAGTCCCATAACACAAAAAAAAAAAGCATCCAGAGTCTATCAGACTTTAAAATATATTTTTACACTAAGATCAAACGAAAATCTGAATCAACAACAAATCTGTTTAAAGAATCTTAAGAAAAATTCACTTCTGCATTATGTTTAAAGTTCTAGCTATACACTAGACTTACATGTACAATGTACAAGTACTAGTATATGGACGGTAAACATATTTCTCAAATCTTCGTACACATTTTATTTGCATATATATATATGCCGAATGGAATTAAATGATTATATTCAGTTCCGACATATTTTCCGATTAAGGCTTAAAAACAATGTAAGCATAATTTCCGGAAAAAACTATGATCAAATTTATAATTATTTCCTTATTTTTTAAATTTTTTATGACCAAATTATCGCAATGATGAGAACAGACATTTGTTTTATTTTATTAGTAGCATTTGTTAGACTCTCTGGAAAACCCACATGCTATATCTTAACTCAAAGGTATGTATATATATATATAAACAGGTGGCTAAGTTTCATTTGGGTATATGTTTTAACTAGATTATTACAGTAAACCTTGTCATCAAATTACTTAATCGTATTGATACCACAAATCTGTCAGATTTGGATGTGGTGACCTTTCTATTTACCAGGTCAATATATATAAACTGGACATAAATCCTGCATGATTTACAAGTAATTTCGAATTTACCGATTTAGGATAAGATGTTTCTGAATAGAAACTTTTTGGCTACATGTAAATAATTGCCAGTATCTTTCGTTGGTCTGTAAGGAAAAAAGAGGCGAAAGATTATATCAAAGGGACATTCAAACTCATAAGTCGATAAGAAACTGACAATGCCGTGGCTAAAAAGAAAAAGACCAACAGAAAAACAACAGTACACAAAAACATGACATAGAAAACTAAAGACTGAGCAACACGAACCCCACCAAAAACTGGGGATGGTCTCAGGTACTTCGGAAGGGTAAGCAGATCCTGCTCCACATGTGGCACCGTGGTATTTTCCTCACAAAAATGCCCTAACGTCAATAGTTGATTATTCAGTCAAAATTATCATTATCTCTTCTACTCTTGGTGATTTACCAACATTTAATTTAGTTTGTAATTAACAAAACCGGAATCATGGTAACTATGACTAAATTGATTCTATTTCGAGCTTGTTTATAGGAATTAAGGAAGTATTTAATTTCTAATGTCTGTGTCAATAAAGTTATCAGGAGCAATGATTCGAGTAAACAGTACTGCAGTACTTTGATAATAAGTTTGATACACATTTTCTATTAAAACGATCAAAAATATGGTATACCTCTTTTAATTATCGATCCTGAATTTTATTGATTGGTTGATTGATTGTTGTTCGCTTAACGTTCAAAGACGAATATTGCATGCATATTTAGGATGAATTTACACATCCGCAAAAGACAATTTCGAGTGTGTAAATAAAATCTAAAAGGAGCATAGGCCAAATTATTTTAAAATTTTCAACGCATTTTAGATTTTCTGACATCATAAACATTCATCAATTGCAGACGAGAAAAATAAATATATGAATTTGAGCATATGGAATTTGTACATCGCGATAGGAATTATAAACAAGAGGCTGTCAGAACGACAGCAAACCGACTTTTTTAACATTTATTTTTGTCCTGGCATTTTTCAATACCACAAGGACCATAACCCCTGAACGATAAAAGTAAAAATCGTCAATATTGAACTTGACCTTCATTTTGTCATCAGTAACAACATATTAAAATTTGAAAAGCTTTGGTTGAACGGTTCATGAGTTAAAGCACGGACACGACTGGAAAGACCATTTTTTAATCTTTCAAGAACCATAACTCCTGAACGGTGAAAGTGAAAATCGTCAATATTGAACTTGACCTCCATTTTGAAAATCTTTGGTAGAACAGTTCATGAGAAAATGCACGGACACTGTTTGGCAGCCGAGCCGCCTCCCCGCCCGCCCGCCGTACATCCCCAAATCAATAACCGATTTTTCCTTCGGAAATTCGGTTAAATATTGAAACTTCATGGTTAAAAAATATATATCTAAAGACTATGCATATATAACTGAAGTTATATTTTTGTTTTATTAGTGGTGAACACAAGCGTGAATGTTGTCCAAATTATGAAGCAAAAGGAAAAGATTGCATTCGTAAGTCCTAACTTAATATTTTTATATTTTCCTACGCCAATAATTCAATAAGTCTTTTCTGAATCTTGTCAACTATACATTCGTCAACTAATATATAGAGAAATATATGTCACAAGAAAGGTCCAAGTGCAGTCCCATATTATGATAATTGAATAAAACGATAGTGGTGTAAAACCTTGACAAAGTATGAAAGATATAGCATGTTCCACAGTTATCCATGCACTAAAAGAATTTTAAGGTTGACATTTTACATTAAAAACTATGTTATTGCAAGATTGATTCATTGCTGGCTCAATAAAGACCAGCGCTAAATATCACAGGCAGATTTAGGACAATATACAATTATGGCCCGAAGAAAAGGTGAATACTAGTATCCAAAATTGTCAACCCAAAAAGGTTATTTCACTAAGGGACCACAATCTTTTTATTGTGCATGCTGAACTATTTCGAAGTAGAAGTGCCTATACTACGCGGCCTACTAGGCTATATAAAATACAACTTGCGTTCGTCGAAGGCTTGATTTCAAATAAGAAGATGTTGTATGATTGAAAATGAGACAACTATCCAACAAGGACCAAATGAAGAGGATTTACGAAATAATGTCGGGTAAATCTATGGTTGAAACACAGAACATTATGAATGATGGGAAGAATTACAAATACTTCGATTGAAATCTAGCACAATAATGATATTGTATCTGCAAATTTGTGGATAACAACTTGTATTTTCCGTGAGTTCTATACTGAAAGCTGGCGTATTGAAAAGTCTGAAGTTAAACATACTAGACTAATGCCTAGTTCACACGTACATTTAATTCGAATTGAATTCGAATCGAATGCGAATCGAATTCGCTAATCGCGTTCACACACTCTTCCTTTTTAATTCGAATTGATTCGAATTGGCTAATTCGCATTAACCAATTCGCATTAGAAATCCGTTTTTGTTGATACGAATTAAAAGTTAACGTCGTTCGGACAGCAAGGCAAATTTGACGCGTATTGCAATTCGAATTAGAATTAACGTTTGGACGTAAAACGATTCGAATGCGAATTAAACTAATTCGAATTAGTTAATGCGAATCGAATTCGAATTACGTGTGAACGCAGCATTAGTTCTTGTTAAGAGAAATATCGTAACTCAACAGAGGGGAAATTTACAAGGTTAACGATATCACAGAATGTTCGCAGATATCGATAGGAAGGTGAAAGTATTTTATCTGCTCATAGGCATTTGTACAAATCATGCATTTTTATACTCCGATGTTCCTATGCGTAGATTCATACAGCAACATAATGAACAAGTGTCGCAAAATGCCGTTAATCATATGAATAAATGTTATTTTATCTATCGATAAATCGCCTGTTGTCGTTGCAAAGCATTTTATAAAAACCCTAAACACAATGAAAATTAGAACATACCAACAATAAATGTACACGAGAAGAAGGAATTAGTATACCTTGTTTCTTAACTAAATCAATATTTGAGGATACACAAGACACGTATATCTTAAGATTTGAAAGCATAATTAAGAGCATCATATTCAAATACGAAAATACAATATAAACTTTTAAATTAAAATGTCAATTTTGAATTATATAAATATCAACTACTTTTTTGTTAGCTTTTTAAGATGCACTTAAGCAATAAGAATTTTCTGAACACCGATGGCGTGGTTTCGGTTAAATGTATTAATCGTGAAACTGTATAAAAAGTAGGAAGTATTGAATATAATCTTGTTTTGGGTTCTGAAAGAAATCGTGACTTTGAAATCAAAATAAGGTTGTCGGTTAAAGTCATAGCATTAAATTTAGAGCTACCGATGAAGGTAACTCACGGAAAGCGTTAAAAGCAAATAATTTATATTGCGTTATTTTCGTTAAAGCATTTGTGAAGATCTACAATAATTTGATAACATGTCTTATTTAACAGCTTGTTCCAAAGGATACACATCAGTTAGAGGAAAACACTGCATGCCCTGTTCGAGAAACACATATGGTGAAAAATGTCGACATGAATGTTCTTGCTCATATAATGAATAGTACGTATGTAATGCTTTTGAAAAAAATATATATCTCTTGTTTCAATGTGCGCAAATGTTAAAATTCATATGAAAGGGCAAAAAAAAACTAACAACAATCTTAGGAGGCGAACCTAATTGATGCTCAGCTAGTCCAAGATTGTTGTCCATATTATCATAAATTGAAAAAAAATCAATAAAATGTAGATATATTGCAATAATAACTATTTAAGAAATCACTAAAAATATAAATCTAGTGAGTCAGTATACAAAGTGTTCTTATTGAATAAAATAGAAAGGTAGATATGCTATTCCAGTTTATGCAGTAAAATTTTATTTCAGTTGTGACCACGTTGACGGCTGTGTTGAATCTGTATCACCAAATAGTATCAGTCTTAGTACTTCAGTGTATGAAACGTCTGGTAAGTAGCATGTAAATTGACGTACACAATTATTATACATTGTAATTCAAGTATTTATTCAATTATCTATTTTGTTAGAACAAAACGTAACAAAAGATAGAAAACTAATATAAAAATAAGATGTGTTATGATTGCCAATGAGACAACTCTCCACAAAAGACCAAATGACATAGAAATTAACAACTATAGGTCACCGTAAGGCCTTCAACAATGAGCAAAACCCATTCCGCATTTTTCACCTGTAGTTCTCTTATAAAAATGCTGGTTTCAACCTTCAATCCTACATATTAGCCTCAATATATTATGTGCTCTTTGGTCATTTTCACTTTTGGTTCGTATTATAATCTAAAAAAACGAGCGGAAGATACCCGAGGGAAGATCATATAATGTAGTTGTAATGCAGTTAACAATGTGATGAAAAAAGAATAAACCAAGTTTATGGTACAGAAAAATTAATATATTGACTGAAAATATTTATCCCTGAAACTCTTCTCATGATTACAAAGAAACAATATTAATATATTTATTTCTACCTATATAGTTTTGTACCGCATGTGTTTCGTCTCCTTGAGTTTACCACACAACTCATGTTATTAATTCAGAAATATTTTTGCTCATGTCATGCTCTCTGCTAATTTAATTGTGGCTAGGCATTGTTTTGTCAATATGTTTATACCGATCATAAGCGAGTGTCAATTGTCTACAAATACTAAACTGAGTATAGAGTATGAAATGAATTATTTCGAGCTATAAGACACGTTGGAAAGGCAGCCATTTTGATTTGATAAAGCCAAAACGTTATAAGAATTAACCTTGTTACGATAAAAAACGGTCAGATACAAGTAAACTTACTTTTAGAATGATTTTTTGTCAAGTTCCAAGCAAGCGACACCGACACAAATATCTATTTTGATCTCTGGAGGTATTCAAAAGGCAACTGACGTTACAATTTTTATCGTGGCGTCAATCATGTGCAGTCCATGCTCTATTGGAGTTAGAATGTGGCTTTTATTTACAAAGAAAAAGAAGAACGTCGTACATGTATTACTATAAACACTTTTTTTTATATTCATTTTAAACAGCTTCATTTGTTTTGTTGGGATGGCATAAATAAATAAAACAATGCTTATTACTGTTTCAACCGTCTTACGCTTAACCTAATACCATATATTTCATGAACTGGTAAACATAAGATATATGAATTTACATATAAATACTGGACGAAAAACCTTGTATATATCACACACTTTTAAAAACATTTGTTGACAGACTGACAATTCTTAAACAAAATGATTTCAATATTTCAGAAATGCCACTTTTTAAATTACGACAGACGGACAGTTAATATACACCATGTTGAAGGATATTTAAAACGTTGTAAATTGCTTTCATAGAATAAAAAACCCAAGTTTAACAATATTTCCATAGTTTGAAATGTAATCAGTGACATTCGGACGGTTAGACGATAAACAATGATAATTTCATAATTTTGTATTTCAAAGGTATGGACTACGGGGCAAAACTATTGCAATTTCCGTTTCAGAATCTAATGCATTCTGGGTAATATTTTCAAAAGCGTACACCAAAACGTGATTGGTTAAAAACGTCCTAAACAATGGATATTCAACCAATGACGTTCCGTTATTTTTATTTTGGTGTAAATTAAGGCGAATTACGCGGTATCTTTAAAAAGTTGCTTCAGTGTCATATTTAAGTAAATTCACTGTGACGGACGGACAGACAATTGTGCCAAACTTGTTTTAACAAATCTAACTGATTCGAACCTAGCAATTAAAATTATAATAAAAGTAACATCACTTGAAAGCTCATGTAAAACCTGGTTTTAATAGCTAGCTAAACCTCCCACTGGTATGGCAATTGTTTTGTTATATTGACAAAATTGTGTGATCATATTAAACAGTTGTTGCTATTTTCAAATGTAATACATGTATCTGCAGTTTTGGCATTTTGTTTCCTTTGATTTGATCAATTTAATGTTTATACATTTGAAAGAAAAGATTTCGTAATTTTCTGTGTTAAAATGTAATAAGAACCGTTGCAAAAAAAAAAATAATTGTTTAAATATACAGATTTATTTTCCTCAATTATACCTCGTATGATTTATTCTAAAACGATAGTAATTAATATTTAACCGTATTAAATATTATTTTTATTTCAAGGCTGGTGTCAGGAGCAACAACTGTTCACTTTTTGATTATATTATCAGTTTCTGTTATGGTTTTCGGGATAGGGTTTTGCTTTGTTTTCTTCAAATGCAAGGCATTAACAAATCAGAGAAAAGCAACTACTAGTATTATTCAATCACAAAATCCTGCAATACCTCAAAATAGCCAAAATATTGAAATGGAGGAACGTTTGTATGACATTATCGATGACGCATACATGGTAGATTACCAACATGTAGAGCAACTGAAAATGTTGTCTGGTCGTCTTGATGTAATTGAGGATTCAAATATAAGAGATAGTGGTGAAAGGAACCATGACAACCCTTGTAAGTTACTATCAACTGCGCAGACGCACAACCAAGAAAACAATTTGAAAGTAGATTGTCGTTCCTTAATGAGCAGTGATAGTACTTCCTCTTGCGAATATCAACAGGAAACAACACAAGATTACGAAAATCTATATCATTCTATGATCCAATCTGAAATGTCGCCACCGGAAGTGACAGAGTATCTTTCATTAGCAAAAGTTAACAGCAGAATAGACAGTAGTATGCCTAATCACCAAAAAGGTGCACTTAGTAAAGCGAAATATAGACTGCAGCATCTTCGAGATGTAGAGAAGAACGATATGACCAAGACATATGAAAACGTTGTTGTATGCAGCGTATCCAAGTCCCATTCCGCTATAAGAGGACGAGAATCGACGTCAGTGGAAAAGTTGAATACTTAGTATTCATGAAACCTTCTCGAAAAGACAAAACAAATGTGTACTCAAAGGATGATAACGGACTTATATAATCTATTGAAAAATAAAATAAGAACTTAATGTACATAATGATTCAATTTCACTTTAAATTTTTCCTGTAAATTATTTTGTTTAATTCTGTAAAATTTTTATATTTTTGTTAACAGGTCAAAGTTAATAGTTTGTAAAAATTTCATGAAAATCAAACAAGCCAAATCTATTTTAGTCAAAGTGTTGGGTACCCCCTTTATTACAAAAACAACCTGAAATATTCACTGTGTTGTGAAATAAAAACCTTCAGGTTTAAACGGGAGCTAAACATTCTAAAAATCCTTAAATGTTGTTATTATATAACTATTACCATACAAAGTTATATTTATTGTTATCATGTTTTATATAAAATTGAGAATGGTAATGGGGAATGTGTCAAAGAGACAACAACCCGACCATAGAGCAGACAACAGCCGAAGGCCACCAATGGGTCTTCAATGCAGCGAAAAACTCCCGCACCCGGAGGCGTCCTTCAGCTGGCCCCTAAACAAATATGTATACTAGTTCAGTGATAATGGACGTCATACTAAACTCCAAATTATACACAAGAAACTAAAATTAAAATTGATACAAGACTAACAAAGGCCAGAGGCTCCTGAATTGGGACAGGCGCAAAAATGCGGCGGGGTTAAACATGTTTTTTGAGATCTCAACCCTCCCCCTATACCTCTAGCCAATGTAGAAAAAAAGAAACGTACAACAGTACGCACAGTAAAACTCAGTTTAAGATAAGTCCAAGTCCGATAATACATAAATAACAACAGACTACTAGCAGTTACTGACATGCCAGCTCCAGACCTCAATTAAACTGATTGAAAGATTATGTCTTCATCATATGAATATCAGGCACAATCCCTCCTGTTAGGGGTTTAGTATTATACCATCATAAAATATATGAGAAGAACATAACCCGTGTCATGCCAACAACTGGTTTTAGAATAAATATGTTTAATTCCGATGCAAAGACCCTATAAGTGAATCAATATTAAAGCCAAAATATGCAATCTTTAATGACTTGACAACAGTATCGTAACTATATCCCTTCTTAATAAGTCTGTTTAAAGGTTTTGTTAGCTTTTGAAGTGAATACTGACATTTTTGTGCTTTGTAAAGAATATTACCATAAAAGATTGGATGTGAAATACCCGAACGTATAAGATGTCTGCATGTTGAGTTATATTTACGAATGATGTCCTTATACCGATGATAAAATTTAGTAAATGTTTTGACCAGTTTATGATATCGAAAACCCGGGTGTAATAATTTTTCAGTAATACATAAATTTCTCTCTCTAAAATCTAATACGTTGTTACATACACGAGCGAATCTTACAAGTTGAGATATATAAACACCATAAGATGGTGACAAGGGAACATCACCATCTAAAAATGGATAATTTACGATAGGAAATGAAAAATCATCTCTTTTATCATAAATTTTTGTATTAAGCTTCCCGTTAATGATATAGATATCAAGATCGAGGAAAGGAAAGGACAGTGGTCATTGTTAGTATTAGCTTTATTTAAAGTAAGTTCAACAGGATAAATTTCTTTAGTATACACCCTGAAGTCGTCATTATTGAGAGAATATATATGTATTCAAATTAATGTAAAATATAATGATTGTAATAATCACTTAAAATTATTTTTTAACTATTAACTTCTTTTAAATGATTGATTGATTGGTTGGTGTTTAGCGCCACTTTCAGCACTATTGTGGTATTTCATGGTGGTCAGTTTTCATTGGTGGAGGAAACCAGAGTGCCCGGAGAGAACCACCGACCTTCGGTAGGAAAACTGACAATCATAGTCAATTAAAATTGGAGTCGAGCACACCTGCAACGTGCGGGATTCCAACTAACAACCACAGTGTTGATAGGGCCTATTGATAAAGTAGTTCGACTACTTAGACGACTCTGCCACCGAGGCCCGGCCCCTCCTCTAAATAAAGACTGATTTTATTTTATTCCCAATTATGTGATTACAACCATCAGTTGGTATTGAACAAAGTTCGCTGAGTAAAAAAAGGCAAATTATCTTGACTGTAATTTTAGTATACTATGGTATAAAGCTTAAAATAAGAAAAAACAATACAGTGCATGTAGCTTGATTTGACACAAAGAGTTTAACATCAAAGCCAAATCAGAGTCAAGCAAATTTGTTTTATAATTAAGTGTTTTTTTATTTCTTTCAGCTCATAACAGTTTATAAGAAGATAGCTTATCTTGTACTGATTCCCCAAGATATATATAGTTCAAAATAAGAGATCAATTCGTCTACGTCCGGTGTCAATTGATAGCTTAATTTGCACTGATTCCAAAAATATATGGTTTTTATGGTTACAGAAGCAAAATTATTACCGGTGTTATTTAAAATTTTAATTCTTGAAGGATACCAATCTAGAAACAAAATTGGTAGCGGTTCCTGTTATGAGAAATGTCAGCGTTTTAATCAGAAGAAGGGCTTCCAATTTTTATACTTAATTGGAAAGGTAAATGGCTCCTTAGATAATACAGTGCATACATGTATATTTTCTTCAGTTTGAAGAATAAATAAACAAGCGGTTCCTGTTACTAGAATGTAAGCATTTAATTCAGCCAAAAAAAATGGTCATGCGACAAAATGCAGTTGTAAAGGAAGCTCCTAATTTTTGCTCCTAATTGGACAGACAAGTTTTGAACGCCTCTTTAGATAAAATACAATGAATACATTTTCTACACATCATAATCATAACTGATTGATTTAATTTTTCTGTTTTTTAAAACCTTAATGGATAAGAGTTAAAATTAAAAAAAAAACAACTCCAACCCTGAATCACCCAATCAGGAGGCACACACTATTTTATTCTAAGGACCTTCATAGGGTAAAGCAATCACCCAATCAGGAGGCACACACTATTGTATTCTTAGTACCTTCTTGGAGTAAATTTAAAAGCAGTTACCGTTTAAATCTAAACAAATAATTACGCTATTGTAACTCTATGCGTTTCCTCTTGAAATATGTGAGTTAATTTGCTACTTTCACTTTATATCACGCAAAATTTGTCATTTGATTGGTAACTTCATTCAGTATTTGATTTCTAGCAATCGGTTAACCTCGAGTGATTCCTCTTCTCTCAATCTGGAGGTACGGAATCGGTCTAATTGTGACGAATGTGATTTCTATGCAATAATTATTCTAAATGAAATTAGTGCAAAAAAGGTTACACAATTCACTCCCGGTTGACCTTTTTATGTCCAGGTCATATGTCTCTTAACCTAATCCAAAAAAAAACCATGAGTTTTTAAATATAAAGCAATAATGCATAAATCATAACTTAAAATAAACAAGCGGAGAAAGATTATTTTTGAGTTGGAGATTTCACCCTCAAGTCAATATATCTGAACGTGAAATTAAAGAACACTGCAATATGTTTTGAAGCGAGTGTCTTTCAATTTCACGGATGTATCTAAATGTTATCAAACTCTATGCCTAATTTTGGGAAAATTAAAATTTCAGGAAGGCCTAACTGAACCTTTTACCTGACATATATTTTGAATATCAAGCCAATTGAATATGTCCTTTTTTTACTTGCCATACGTATATCTATTTATATTTTGACATGTACATGTAACTTGAGTGTTCGTTTGTTTATGTATATTGAGATATCATGTTTCAAAAGTATATACTTGACTGTATTTAGTTGAATAAAATCTTTAAATGATAAAGAGATTTGCGTAAAGGTTTATATTCGATAACATCTCTTTGAACTCCTTTTACTATGACTATCATCTTTTTATGTTATCGAATATGTTGTAGAAATAATAGAAAATATATCTATGCATCTGAATATATTTTATTAATCACTTCTCATGTATGGCACGCTGCAAAAATATTTAAAAAAAATAGTTTTAGGGTAGAAGGATTCCACGTTGACTTAGTTTGTCTTGCAAGATTTGGTATGATTGTCAATAAGACAAAAGAGATGCGAAAGTTACTAAATTGATATTCCAGAGACAACTCTCCACCATTATGAATTATAAAAATGACGAAATCTAAACACTTTGGCACCGAGACAAATAAGCACCAGGACAATCCGGCATCCATGAAAGAAATTTCAGCACCCGAGAAAGACAGTTCGGTATCAAGACAAATCGTCAAAGAGATTAATCGGCACATTATTTATAGATAAAAGAAAAACATACCCCAAAATGGATGAATGAAAAACATACATTTAATAGCGGCGAATGTACTTCCATTAGTGGAATATTACAAGTTCACAACGGTTCCTCTCATATATAAGATATTGGATTCAACAAACCATCAGAGGTTTGAAAAAGGATGAAAGGAATCAAGTGAACGAATTAATAATAACTATTAACTGGTTCTCAGATACCTATCAACCAAAGAAACGTTCTAATTGTCTCGCATTTGTGTTAAATCACATGTCCTGTTTGCAACTGTTTCCATACACCCTGCCACTTACATGTATGAATATATTGCATACGTATTTCAGTTCCGAAAAGAAAATACAAAGTACTGCATGCTTTTTGCCAAGACAAACCTTTCTAAAGGTATTAATAAGTATAGGTGTAACTCTGTATTTCAAATCATATATCATTAAACTTGCGATCTGAACTATCAACAGTAGCATTTTTTTACAACGAGCTAGAACAATAACATAAAAAGAGACTAAGTATACAATGAATCACCGGTGCAACAACTTGACTTATTCATATGTTCGTGATGAACAATACAGCCAATCATGTTTTGAAAACATTAAACCCGTTTCGGTATTCAAACAAAATGCCTGTGTAGCAACATGACTGACAAAAACTGTCCCACGGGTACATAATCAGTTTAAAATTAGTTATCACTTATTTATACCAATTTTACCGTCTATTAAATCAATCACTATTAATAGTCATTACTTCTGTAACTACAACACCAAACAAGTAGACCAAATACTGGCTGTAGTGTTATCTAATGAATATATCATTTTCATATCCCATAACTTCTGAACACCGCTAAAAACGAACAAGTACAATGACCTTCTGTCGAAACCCATCATGGCGGGGCTATTGTGCTGAATTTCAATAAAGTTAAAATTAAGGTATTGGTCTGTTTGTCTGCTTTATTCGGAGGAGTTGGATTATGGTTGTTGATGTGGTCTGTTGTACTTTCAAGATTTTTGGTGAATCCTGTAATCTTTTGTATGAAGTAGTCAAGCTTTTATTTTACTCACCACAGTCTAGACAAAATGCAAACTGATTCATCAGATGCAACAAAATATCGGACATAAAAATAAAAATCGAATAGTGTTTGTGTAGACTTAAGTGACCACTATAATTGCTGAGATGACGGACTTGCGACAAGCAAAAATGAAGGACCGGCAGCATTTTAATGAGAACATATAGATATTCTTGAATAAATTATTCTGTTTTTGATTCGTCATAAGCAGATTCAATAATAAGAAAATCCAAAAAAAAAAGTACATCTGTCTATCAGTAAAAGGTTCACTTGTAAACTATCTTTCATTTTCTTGCCAAAAAGAACCTATACACATGTGATACAACATTTCACAGAATTGGACGCTTTAGTACACATTAATTTTTATCTGCAAAAATAATTTTTCGAATGAAATGAAATGCTAAAATTCCATTCTGACTTATTTCCTGATTTTAGTGTCAAACAATTCATACATTATTTCCGGTAAAACGTGTGATAAAATTTATAACTATTTCCTTATTTTTTTATTTATTACTATGGCATTCTCATAATGATGAGAAAATTAATTTGTTTTGTTTTATTGCTTACTTTAATTTCATTCTCTGGAGGTCAAAAATGCGAACATAGGACTGAAAGGTATGTTATATATAGAAAAGGTATTTTTTGGGGAAAGGGGGGTGAAGGGGGGGGGGGGGGGTAAAATTTATAATCATATGGTATTATAACAATCAAACTTAATTTTTATTAAATTACTTAACTTCATCGACACAAAAAATTTAGAACAGGTTTTGTTCAGTTCACTTTTCAGATGAAATAAAGTTTTCGTAAACTGGAAATTGATCATGCAAGTTTACAATTAATATCGATTTTTAATGATCCCTGATACGAATTTGCATAATAAAAAGGTGCCAGCTACATGTACACCTGTATATGTGGAAATAACGTCCATGGGGAATTATGGGTATTTCTTACAAACAAAACTTTACTCAGTACTTGGAGTATAGAATGTGTGCTCTAAACACCAAATTATATTTTGATTGAATGTATTCTGAGTCTGAGTCTGATCATCGTACTCGAAATGTTTATGGGTGTTAGCCTCTTTCTGGTTGATAATTATTTCATCGGTAATCATACCGCATCTCATATATCTCTTATGATACCTGTTGTAAGAATGTGTGTTATGAGTCATGTATTTAACTTTATCAAACTGCGAGATTGCAGAAATTTATTTCATGCTTTATATAATATCAGTTATACCATAACAATAATAATTAGTTGTTTAAGGAAGGAATGCTCTTTTGAATTTTGGTGTGCTCAACATGCAGTGGCAAGTATTACATAAGCGTCCAAGACAATCAATGGTTTACAAAATATCAAGGACTGGAACAAAAACCACAAGCTGGTGGGCTTCGTATTGCTCAGTCTTTAGTTTTCTATGTTGTGTTTTGTGTACTGTTGTTTGTCTGTTTATCTTTTTTTTTAGCCATGGCGTTGTCAGTTTATTTTCGACTTATAAGTTTGAATGTCCCTTTGGTATCTTTTGCCTCTCTTTTTTTACTCTTCCTTAGCACATGAAGTAATAACAAGCGGCTTGCAATGGTCTTTCTTTTGTTTCGATGTTGTTTCCTGTAACATTTTACTTTTCAATGTCTGAAAAGCTTTTACAGTGTTTACCAGCAACACGATGAAGCGATTGAAAAATGACATTTGACTATAATGATAACTTCTTTCTCATTTTCTGTAAATTCAGAAATTATTTCTAATGACAGTATGTTCTTTTTTGGCGAAAATGGCAACGGAATAGGTTTCGCAAAAAAAAATGCGATAGCATTATTTGTATGCATCATGTCCTGAAATCGCAATAACTAATCTTGCGAGATTGTTTGTTGTTAAACAATCACAATGATAAATGCGCGCATAATCTCAGAATAAGATTTTGAAATTAGCATGTTCTATTTCTAAGTACATGTAGCAGCATATTAGCCTCATCTTTATATGGAATACTAGTATTTGATACTATATACTCTAGGACTTGCGTTTCCTATCAATTTTTTCTTGACAGATTTTTGCTGATTAATATAAATAAGAAAATGTGGTATGAGTGCCAATGAGACAACTCTTTATCCAAGTCACAATGTATAAAAAGTTGACAATTATAGGTCAAAGTACGGCCTTCAACACGGAGACTTGGCTCACACCGAACAGCAAGCTATAAAGAGCCCCAAAATGACTAGTGTAAAACAATTAAAACTTTAAAACCAACGGTCTACTCTATATAAAAAACGAGAAACGAGAAACACATATGAACCACACCAACAAACAACAACCACTGAACAACAGGCTCCTGATTTTTTCCTGGAAGCTATAACTGCAATAAGAATTCTTTATGGTGAAAATGATGTTATCTCCTCGAAAACATTATCAGAAATTATTCTGTCTGAGTCCGTCCCAAAGAACGTAATTCCGTTTTCGGTCAAGTCTTACGACGAGTATTCATTTGGTTGCTTATTAATTTTTAAATATCTAAGCGTTATTTATGATTATTCACCAATCTTCGTTGGTCAAAAACACATTTATTTTTGTTTGTTTCATACTTTCGTATTTTGTCCTCTTTTTATTTCCTTGAACGTCTATGAAATATTTACCTCCGGACTTCCAGAAAGCAGAAATCAAAAATAATTGACAACCATTATATCTTCCCATATTCGAGTAACAGTGTATCTATGCTTTATTCAAAGATTAAAAATACGTACTTTCATTATCAAAACGTGTAAAAATTTGTAATAAACTAACCAGTGATAGTTTATGGCCAGTCCAGTGACGAATATTTCATGCATTTGCAAGACTACTTTGGCCAATCGCCAACAGTTTGAGTTAATTCAAAATCCAAATTATAGTCGAAACCTGTTTTCTTCTACGTTTATGACATTAGCAATATTATATATAGCCTACCGATCCTAAGAATAGACAAAACGTATTTTTTTCTTGAACGCATTACCAATAAAAAATAAATCTGGAATGTTAATGGTGGGCCTTCCCGAAACTTTTAAACTTTACGAATAGTTCAATGTACACAATCAAGCTATATCTATATTTTAAAAACCTTGTTAGTAAGAAGTAACCATGCAGTTATGATATTTGAAAAAAAAGAGATGGACAATACCAAAGGGAAAATCAAAACTCATAAGTCCAAGTGAGATGGACACCAATTTGCCAAAAAAAAAAGACAAAAAGACTCACAACAGTCTTCTTGATGCTACATTAAAACCTAAAGACTGAGCAACACCAACGTTTACCCCACCAACAACGGATGGGGGTGGGGGATATCAGGTGCTCCGGAAGGGTGATCGTGAGGTATTATATTATTACGTAGAATGATCATATGAATTTGAACACATTAAGTTAAGACAGTGATTTGAATATGAATTATAAGACATTGAAATTTGAAGTTAGCTCAACTTAAACATAATATATTTAAAGACTATGGAATTGAAGTACAGAATTTTTTTAATATCATTATTTTTCAGTGGTGAGGTAAAAGATGTATGCTGTGCCGATCATGAAGCACACGCAAGTGGTTGCATTCGTAAGTCATCGCTTATTATTTTAGAACCTTATTTGATTAGAACTTTCTGCATCTTTTAACTATGTGAATTATGTTAACTAAACTATACACATGTATGTCTAAGGAAAGGGGATTTTCTGAAAGTTCAATATTTTTAACATGTAAATATAAAAGTGATAATGGCCTAATAAAATCAAGTTCTTAGTTGAGTAAAACAGAAATTAAATTTTGCAACGGTTACTTTAAAATTAGTGATAAGATCAAAAAAAACTCTTCAGTCTTATATTTTGAAGTTGATGTCATACGATTGATACATATGCTTGGGTAGTCTGCCAATGCAAATGCTTTCAGGGATGTGAGATTAAAATAAAAAAGCATACACATATGAAAAAAAGGAAATGTGGTATGATTGCCAATGAGAGAACTATCCACCACAGTTCAAATGAAGTGGATGTCATAAATTATAGGCAACCGTACGGCCTTCGACAATGAGATAAACCCATACCGTATCGTCGGCTATAAAAGACCCCGACATGAACAATATGATACAATTTAATTGAGAAAACTAACGGCCTTAATTATGAAAAAAAAAAAATTTAAGAAAAACAAATATGACAGACATGAACCAACGACAACCACTGAACTACAGGCTCCTGACTTTGGAAAGGCACATAAAGAATGTGGCGGGGTTAAACTTGTTTGTTAGTGCTCAAGCCTCCCCTAACTTTGGACAGTGGTGTAACAGCACAACATAAGAACAAACTATAAAAATCAGTTGAAAAAAGCTTAACTCCTCCGATCGATACTAAAATAAACATCAAACAGAACACAGACAGGACGTGGCAGGGTATATATCAATCCCTCATCCCTAACAACAAAAAATACACTTAGTACAGATCTGAGAGTACTCACAGTTACTGACAATTACACATGAATTAGGAAATTTATATTTTACAGCCTGTTCTAAAGGATACACATCAAAGATTGGACAAAGCTGCAGACCGTGTCCAAAAAACACATATGGCGAACGATGTGCAAATGACTGTAATTGCCCAGTGTTTCAAATGTATGTATTAGATGTAGTCTTTTCAGTTATGAGTGGCGACAGCCTCGATAATATAAGACGAAAACATCTGATTTTCATAAAAGTAATAAATAATTATTCTATCTTTTCTCCTTCTTCCAAAAAGAGCAATTAATTTTGATAAGAAAGGAATTATTACAAATTTTCTAGATGCAGTAACACTCCAAGAAAAGTTTCATAGTTATAGATTTGGAATGAAATCTTGATTGCGTCCATTTTTCTGTCCTTATTACATACTGCTTTTGTATGTCAGTATGAATCTTGTCTCTTTCTGGTTTAATTGCCAAAACCTGAACCTTTCCCTGATAAATTATAACACTTCTATTCAATTTTATATAAGTTATATTTAGAATTATCTATAATTCTTGTCTAAAGCAACACTAAGAACATGGTGATACCGGTCATATAAGAGGCACAAATCCAAAATCTATCGATAAATTATAAGAAAATGAAAAATAACTTTGAATTGATTACCGCTGCGGGTTGGCAGTATAACTATCTGGAAATCATCAGCATAGTAAACATATGGTTTTAGCAGTCCCTTTTACGTCCTTTTTGTCTATATTGCTTCGAAAATATATATATATATCATGTATACCATCGGTTTTTAAATGTTTTGGTTTAAAGCGTTCCTGATTAAGGTAAACAAACAAAAAAAGCGCGTCAGACGCAACAAATTTATATTTTTTTAACATTGCATTTAATATCCCTAAGAAATGATTCAGAAAAAGCGGCATTAGATAACAATTTACGTATAAAAAGTTATATCACAAAAAACTGAACTCCGAGGAAAATTCAAAACGGAAAGTCCCTAATCAAATGGCAAAATCAAATGATAAAACACATCAAACGAATGGACAACAACTGTCATATTCCTGACTTGGTACAGGCATTTTCAAATGTAGAAAATGGTGGATTGAACCTGGTTTTATAGCGCTAAATCTCTGACTTGTATGACAGTCGCATCAATTCCATTATATTTACAACGATGCGTGAACAAAACAGACATAATAGGTAACATTGTCAAAATATCTGACCTATCAGATATGCATATAAGAACATAATCTACGTGTGTAATGTATTGAAAGAACTTTTTCAAATAGAATAATCTCCCGTTGGCCAGGACAATTCTCATCTAAAGCTCATTTAAATTATGATCCTATATGCATACCTGATAGATCCAAATAATTGGGTACTAAAATGTAAGGAATAGATAATAATGGACAAAAAATATTAAGAATTTATTGGCAAAAAAAAAAAAGAATAGAGAAAAATGACTTAAAAAATTAAAGAATTCAGACCCTCTTCTATGCAGTCAGATTTAATTGTAGTTGTGACCACGTTGAAGGCTGTGTTGGAATTCCAACGATAGCTGGTACTTCAGTGTATACAAGGTCTGGTAAGTAAAATTTAAAATAACGTACAAAAAGATAATACTAGATCTAGTACTTTAAATATTTATCCATTTATTTATTCATCTATTTTGTTTAAATAAAAACAGAATAAGAACCAAACACAATGCTTATTTCACCTCAATATTATATTCATGTCTTTGATTTCGTTCCGCAGTTTCATGCTTAATGTGGTGTTATTTTTTTTTTTTTTTTTCGTTTTAAGAAAAATTAATCCACAGAAAAGCATTTTGCATATAAGCGAATTAAATTTGATTATTTTGACAAACCACTAGAATTAGCTTGTTCATTTTTGTATCTGTTTGATGATTCTTTTGTAGACATAACGCGCGTCTGGGGTATAAATTTTAATCCTGGTATCTATGATGAGTATATTTGATTGATGTTTCAATGACATATGTACAACAATAGTTTTCATTCCTCAATATATGTATGAAAAATAACACTGTATAAATTGTATGCATCCAATGCGCTTTCCTGGATTTACCCTCGTCAGGAACGCTTCGAACCATAAATTGCAAGCCAAGGATGTATAAGTACTGTAACACATCCGAAAGGGACCTTGATAGTATAGCCAACGTTGTGTAAGGTCAATGACTTGTTCTTTTTTTTTATATTTTATAGATGACAGAACATACCCGTGGACCCAAAGAACACCAACACATTCGGAACATGAGAGTTTGTCTCAGACGACAGTTAAGATTTCTGGTACGGTGCAACCATAGGTCTAAGCGTCATCCGTATCCGTTCGTTTTGATCCAGTTAATCGCTCTTTTCAATTTCTTACGTCAATATCTCCTCCCTTTACATGTCCTTTTCCAACAGTTGCTTTGGTCCTCCCACCCCATCCCTGTTTAAATAAAAAATTCCGGATCCGCTTCCGAAAGTATCATTTTTATAAATACATTTTTATACAACAGTAGTTAATAACTCTTTAAAATGAAATTTGTTTCTTTCAGATAAAACGACTTTACCTCAGGTTCTTGATGCAACTACAAACGGAGAAAGCATGGACAATAGTGTTCAAGGTATATGTGGATGGTTAATGCTACCAATCGTTATACACGAAAACATGTGTTTTTTCTATCGCTTTTAATATTTTACCTTGCTGAGTTAGTATTCATATATAAACAATACTAGATTTATTTTCCTTTGTTTTTGACTCCAGTGGCAAATATTTCAAGCAGCTAAAGAAAGAAAAAAAAACAATTTAAACAATAAATCAATAAAGGTAGGTTCTGAAAAAAAAATGTCGACCGGGATGAAATACAGAAAACGTGAACTGACAATGGAAATATTTTTTTTCTACATATATGATTAAAAGCAACCTCAATGTATTGTGCCTTTACTAAAGAGAGGCGAAAGATACCAAAGGGATATTCAAACTTATAAGTCGAAAACAAACTACAAATGCAATGGCAAACGAATAACTACAAAAAGACAGACAACACTATACAAAACACAACATAGAAAACTATAGACTGAGCAACACCACCAAAAACAAAATATGATCTCAGGTGGTCCGGAAGGGTTAACAGATCCTGCTCCTCACATGGCACCCGTCGTGTAGCAAGTTCGACATCCTTTTCGACTAGAGATGTTAAATACCTTTAACACGCGTTCCTACAAATTGTTGTTGCTTTGAAGTTGAAGCTTGTCATACCTTTATAAATTTAATATTATATATACAATATTTTTAACATTTCATAAATTGGTTTTACAATATTTTGCGTTAAAACGTAATTATGTGAAGTTTTGCAAAACAGATATATCTTTTTACAGAAAATGTTCATTCTTTGTCATCATAACTGATAATTTATTTATTTGGCAAACAATAGTATAGTTAAGGTTTTAACTGCTTAAAATATTATCTTTTCCAGCACTGTTGTCAAGAGAAATTATTGTGTATCTTACATTATCAGTCTTAGTTTTGATTTTTGGAATATGCTTATGCTTTATATTCTACAAGTACAAGACAGTGAAAAAAAAGAAGAAAGCAACAATCACACAATCACAAAACCCAACTCAAAACTGTCATAATATCGAAATGGAGGAACGTTTGTATGACATTATCGATGACGCAGACATGCTAGAAGAACAACTGTTGAAGGAAATTCAAATATCGCCTGATTACCTCGATGTAATAAGCGGATCAAACAGCACCGGAAGTGGTGAAGGCAAAAATGTAGAAAACCATGAAAACAATTTCGAGTCACTGTCAACTGATCAGATAAAAATGCTCGTAAACAAAGTAATTTGTAGTTCTCTGAATAATAGAGAAAGTACCTCATCTTCTGGTGAAGATCGCCCGGAAACAAAACAAGATTACTTAAATACATATCAGTCTGTGATTAAAACGTCACCACCAAATATTACAGAGTATCTTACATTAGCAACCGTACACAGCAGGACAGACAGTAGTGGGGTCAATAACAAATCAGGCGTATTCAGTAAAGATGAAAATATACTCCAGTATCCCATAGACCTAGAGGAGATCGGTTTACGTCGGCCTTATGAATACGAGAATTCTTCAATTAGCATTGGATGTGTATTTCCTCGGCGTTGTTTATCAAGTATAAGAGGACGGGAATCGAAGTCGTGCGATAATTTGAATAGCATCCGGTTGAAAATAAAAACATTTTCCGGAAAAGACGATAACAATAAAACATCAAGTGAAGACAAAAGCATTGACTATTATAATCTATTTAAAACTAAATCAGAAAGTGATATATTTTGTAAGCATAATCCGGAGAAATAATGACTCAGCTCGGCATAATGGCACACTTTACTCAGTTTTTATCCTGATTAAAAGAAATCAGCGTATGAGCAAGCATGTGGTGCCTTTAGAAAGATTATCTTTATTACAAATCTATATTGTAATATTTATTGCTGTCAGATGAAATAAAAAAAGAACAGGAGCCAAGTCAAAGTGTTTTATTCTCAAAATGTAGATGTTGTTTATAGATTACTATATGCATAAAAAAGTGAAATACGCATCTGTTTTATTATTATCATGCTATATACATCTAAATTGTATGAAAGAGGGACGAAAAATACCAGAGGAACAGTCAAACTCATAGATCGAAAACAGACTGACAACGCCATGGCCAAAAATAAAAAGACAAACAGACAAATAATAGTACAGATGACAAAACATAGAAAACTAAAGACTAAGCAACACGAACCCAACCAAAAACTGGAGGTGATCTTAGGTGCTCCGGAAGGGTAAGCAGATCCTGCTCCTCATGTGGCACCCGTGAAAAAGAGGGGCGAAAGATACAAAAGGGACAATTCAAACTCATAAGTCGAAAATTAGCTGACACACCAAGGCAAACATATAAAACGACCAAAAGATAAACAACAGCACACAAAAAACAACATAGAAAACAAATGACTGAGCAACACGAACACCCGGATGTGATCTCAGGTGCTCCGGAAGGGATAGTAGATTCTGCTCCACATGTGGCACGAGTCGTGTTGATCATGTCAGTACAAACTCGGTGATAAGTCTTATTCGGTAGGTCACATTCGGAGAAAAGAGGATGGATTTTGATTATGACAAATGGAACATATCAGTCGTCATCTGCGAAACAGATATTCCATAACGGCCAATCAACTAGTGATGTCGTCCGAAAAATTCACGATGGTATGATTTCGACTTCACTACTTAGAACTCATGGTTTAAAAGCTTCCTTGTAAGCAGCAACCCTCTATCAAGGAAATCAGTATAGGAAATACAAGCCCTGGAATATTGTATCAACTGGGAGATATATACTCTATATGCAGTTGCTGATAAATTTTGCTTCATAGAAATGGAAAGTCCACAATTTGGAAGCTGAAAGCATCTCTTTTGTCGTAAAGTTTTGTTTTCAACCGACCCTCATTGTCAATTTCTAGATGTAAGTCAAGATATGAGACAGCCTTTACCGTACCTGTTGTATCCTTTATCTCAACTTTGATGGGATAGATGCGTTCACCATACTTTTAATTATTAAGTGAGAGAATATCATTTTTACAGCAGAAAGTTATTTAAATAAAAATAATGCTAAATTCTTTTCTTTTTTCTCAAGAAGCCCTTGTATGAAGTCAGCCTCATATGAACAAAGGTACAAATCGGCAAGAACAGGGGCACAATTGGTTCCCATGGGAACATGGGAATATGAAATATTTAATTAAGTAAATCAATTAAAAGGTTGTTTTGACAAGCCACCTATTTATCTTTTGAGCTCGTAAATGATAGGGGCCTCGGTGGCCGAGTGGTCCAAGTAGTTACTACTGTAATCACTAGCCAGTGAACACTGAGGTTGTGAGTTCGAACCCCGCTCGTGCGGGTGCACTCGACTCCAATTTTAATTGACTAGGATTGTCAGTTTTCCTATCGAAGGTCGGTAGTTTTCTCCGGGCACTCCGGCTTCCTCCACCAATAACAACTGGCAGCCACGAAATAGCCCAAAAGCGGTGCTTAAAAGTGGCGTTAAAAACACAAAAAATCAAAAAAAATCAAATCGTAAATGATATCTGATTTGATTTTTATCCTTTTCATGTCCCTAAATCCTTTACTTGAATGGTCCTGTTCGCCTCAACCAAATGCCAATTAAAATATTGAAAACAATTTAACCATACATGGTATTAAGCTTAAAATTATAAACAAACCAATTGAGTTGCTGAATTGGACAATATATTAACATCGTAGTCAAACAGATCATGTTACAAATTAACGTTTAAAATAAAATATACGCAAACTAGTTCTATTTTCTGTATCAGTCATTGAAAACTTAGTTCGATGATCTGTTTCTATGTTGGACATTTTACACTTTAAAGTATTATTTCCGCATTTTTCTCCTATGAGATAAACGAATTGCTTTGCAAATTTTGCAGTTTATAAAGTATCTTTTTTATGAGAATCTAATTCATGTTGAGACATTGTTTGAAGTTAACTAGCTTATTTTGTCCGTGTTTTAGTCCTACCTTTACGTTTTAATACATTTTTTGTACCGTGTTACTGTTTGTCTATAATTTCATTTGCCGCTGTGAAAACATACTTTGAAGTCTTATTTACGAATTAATCGCTATTATAATTCTTTCCAGAAGAAAAATGTGCAAATGATATAACTGCTATTGGTCACAGGTAACCAGCTATTTATATCTACGTATTGTCCCTCCCACATTGTAACTCTATCCCATCAATAAATAAATAATGTATGTCACAAGTTTCGTATTCAAAGACAGTTAGAGTGGCAACAATATATATTTACTGACGACTTTTTAAAAGAAAAAAATGCGTATTACAAACTTTATTTAAAAATAATTAAATTTTGTTTACAAAAAAAACTTTAAATGACATTACCTTGAATTCGTCATGATCGTGTTATAAATAGAAACATTCCCTCATGTGTGAAATAAGCCTTGTGAAGGACACATGTTAAAAAGGACGATTTTGTAAGATAAGCGCCTATAGTTTAAGATTGTAACGTACATAACAATTTAATAAACAATCAGATTCAGTAAAAATTTATAATTTAACTTTCGGTTTTCATAAAATATTGTGTAATTTCCGGTCATGCACTTGCCAAAACAGATTTTAATAGCAATGGATGGACGCAGTGAGGTAAGAGGTATCATGTTTAATAGAATATTTTCAAGTTAAACACAAAACGGAAAATGTTATGCAAAGCGTGAGATTAAGTTTTACATCAACTGGATATTTTTGTTTACCATAAAAACAAACATCAAGGTGAACGAACAGAGTCAATGAAGGAACGTAATATGTGTGCTTGTCAAAACAACTAAGGATTGGGCACAAATAAAATAATAACCAGTAATATGTGAGTTACGGCATTCAAAATTAATAATAATAAAACAAAAAAGACCCAACAATCACAACTACAAAACACAACCCGAACAAATTATGCCTACAACTTACATGTTTACATGAGACATGACGTGGTATAAATACCTTTTGATAACTTTCAGAATTTCAAACATTAAACCCGGTAGGAAATTGAATAATAAACTTATATTTATCAAACATCTTTTTAAGTATATTTATGAAACTTGAGGAGAATTTTTAGTATCATGATTAGAAATTGTGCATAATCTTGATATACCACAAGGGTAATTTTGATAGTAGTTTGATATGCCTCAAAGAAGTAGCAAAGATTTAAACACTACCTTTGTGCAAAAATAATATGACATTCTGCTATTCTGTTTATCAACAGTTATAGCTTACAAGCATCAACTTTTTCTATGAATGCGCCCAGGTGTGTGTATATGTGTATATGTGTGTATGTATGGGGTGGGGGTATTTAACCCCAGCACATTATGTATGTGCCTGTCCCATGTCACAAGCCTGTAATTCAATGGTTGTCGTTTGATGCTGTATATTACGTGTATTATGTTAGTTTTCGTTTTGTGCTGTACACACTTCAGGCCGTTAATTTCCCTGTTTGAATTGTTTTATAGTTGTCATATCGTGACCTGACATAGCTTGCAGTATAGGATTTGCTCATTGTTGAAGGCCATACAATGACCTTTGGCTTTTGGTAGTCATTCCATTGGGAATCATACCAATTTTTATATTTTCAAAATTAAACAACTATTAAAATACTTTGGTTGATAATGTTTGATTTTTTTTCATTTTTTAATGAACTTCCCGTTTTTTCATTTACCTTAGAGTTCGGTATTTTTGTAATACTTTTTTTTTACCTACATGTAGTACCTATATTATCCATAATTCTTTCAATGGTACGACATTCTCAACCAATTTCATAGATATACGGTAAAAGATGTTTCCAAACTATGAGTTGTTTTATTTATTTTCCTAGCTGTATTTCCATCTAACAATCATGTCTTCCTTTCATTTTTACAACATAGTGTCATATATTACACGTGATTATCACTAAATGTAACCAATCATCGGATTTCGCGTATCGCCAGTAACAGACAGTAACTACATGTAACTTTTTGTAGGATCTGATGATTTTATTAGTCATTTTTTCTTCTGTGTATCCATTAGAACATGCGTACGTGTTTCTTCAATTTCTCATTAACAGCTTCTGTAATAGAAAAACAAAGGATATTGGGTATCCATCTATGACACAAAATCAGTACATGCACAACAAAATACACTGTGTCTTTTCCAGTGGTTCACACTTTTTTTTATTTATTTGCGTTCAAATGGGATCGAGTTGTGCACCAGTTTCTACTCTTATGAATCCTAGTTAAATTAGTTATTGGATAAGGATAAGTTAAGAAGAAGAAAGAACAATGAGCTTTACATTCATAAATATTGACATAAAGACGAAGTTCTGTCTAATGATAACCAAAGCTTTCTCACTGATTAGTCCACCCATGTTGGAAATGAAAAGAAAAGTTCTGCCGTCTTATTTTTTGTAACATGCACTTGGATTTCAAATATACTAGACATATTCACACAAAGCCAACACTTTTGTTTTCAGCGTAATTTATTAAAGAACTGCAGAATCTTAATCGTGATTATGTTTTGCAATGATGTTGCTTATTTTTCAATTGAATTTTTTGTATTTGTCATTTTTGTTTACGTTTGTTTATTAATAAACATGCGCTGGGATAGCATAATAAAGGTTTTACTCAATATTAAGAGTGGTGTATATCCAGAATGTTAATGTTTACAGACACTTAACTCAAATTTGTAATCTGTTAAAAGAATTAATTAAATAATTTAATGAAATTTGTATCTAATTTTTAATGGATACAGATTTTTCACGAATGTTCACGATGGTAACGATGATGATTAAATGCCATATTGTGAGAAAATCAGATACTACTTACGAATGGACACTCTTAGTTTTCCTGGTAAGTGTAATACAATAATTGTCTTCCGTATGATGAAATGGCATCTTTCATCCAGTAGAAGTATGCTCGCTTTAGGTACAGGAGGTTGTAAGTTCGATCCCTAATATGGTCAATCCAAAAAGCATTGCACCTCTTCGGAATGTAGCAATATAGTCAATTTCTTGTTATGAATAGCATTTAAGTCTTCAAATTGTACAGTTTATCTCATGTTTGACATACGAAATAAAATGTAGTGGATTGTGTTATTTGAAAGGATAATTGTAATAATTTACTTTTGGAAATAGGTATTTTATTTGAATTAAATTATCATTTCTGTAATACAGAGGATTAAGGTTACCAACAGCTCACAATGGGAAATGACACTGAAAAATATTACAATAGATTTTTAAAGTTTTACGTGATATAAGACAGAAAAAAACCCAGCAATTCTTCAGTTAGAATGAAATATAAATGTAAGTATTCGAACATCAGAGGAAAGAATATAAGTAGCCGCAAACAAGGACAAAACAACACATTCATCCCATCAGAAAATGAAATAAGTTCATAACTCGAATGCTATTCGAAGTAATTTTACCTTCACTTATGTATATATATGTACACATATTTCAGATCTTCATACTAAATGTTGATTCATTCAATTTGAAATGTCCTTCACAAGCGAACTGGAAATTTCGGGCCAAAGTAAAGTGTAACAGCACCTTGAAATACTTTTGTTTGTACAATAATGTGGAAAGGAAGTATGTTGAGGGATGTGATGGACCGGATTGGGACAGAAAAGGTATATTGAAAAAGTTATTTTCCAATTGTTTTTTAAATATTATTTAAAGAAGAAATGGGAATTTTCCATGTGAATATGTGAATTGAATTTATAATTGGATTTGTTTGCTTGTGTTCAGAAGAAATGCACAGACAACCAAACTGTTTATTCTCTTTAAATGCATAATATCGAATTACTTGATTAACTTTTTAATGAAAATAATCTGACTACGTTCTTCGTTCTTGTAAACAGCTATATTTCTATCACAATAACATGTTTTCGTCATGAAAATGCATGTAACAGTTCCAATCTTCGTGCCTCATTTCTGACTCACAGCTAGAAATATACATTAATGGTTGCTTGAGAACAAGACTATACGACAAAATGGATTTCAGTGTTCTAGAATTATCTAGTTCTATATGGTGTATATTTATGTTTAGTTGAAACGATGTTCTAGATCTTGTATTCTTTTTTCTAAATTCCTACTGTTGTGATTATTACAGGAAGTAAGCGAATTTTTGCTGGATACTTTACCAGAGAACAATGTATACAGGAACGCTTCCAGCCCATTAAATTCAGGACAAATGAAAGCATGAGTGACTGTGTATATGCTAAATCAATCTGCAGTGAAGAAGGACAATTAATGCAAAAAGAAAATTCAACAAAGGATGACAGAACATGTCGGTGTGATCATAGAAAGAACTATTCATTTATTCATACTCCAAGAAATTTGTGTTTTTGCATTCCAACAAAAGAAGACTGTTCTTGTTTCATTAGATCATGTCCAGCAAACTATACTCTGTCATCAGGTATTTTGCTTATTGATTTATGCTAAATTTCATGTAACCATGTCATTTTGGAATTAAAAAAAAACGTTACTGATGAACTATTAAGGGAAGCATAGTTTAAATAAATATAGTGCCCTGTAGAGTTTTATTATACCGTGTATATTTCAACAAATATTATGTTTATGCATACATGTTAAACGTAATATATATGATTCCCTCCATGATTTCAATATGAGGTTGACAGATATGTTAGATGCACTGCAAATTCTTTTTTTTAGTTATATTCGCATATAGAAAGGAAGAAAAATAACAAAAAAGCCAAAAAGTCGGATGGATACATTCAAAGATAAAAATATTTAAAAAAATGGTTAATCTGATGTTCGAGATATTATTTTTTTTTTAATCTAACTCAGTTATGAATTTTTCTTTAGATATTTCTTTTAACCCAATTGAGTTATAAATAAATTGTCATACATGTTGTTTTTGTTCAATCAGTGTGCCTGGTACCTTTATTCGTTTAATGACTGATACTGACATAGTTTTTTTAATTGTTTCTGCTTTGATCTTTTTTTCGTAAATTTATATTGGAGATTGCACAGAACCGCGTCTTCTCTAAGTGTAAACGAAGTTGTTAAGGATAATATACACATAGGAACAGTAACCGTTTAATGTTAAATGCACATGATATAATCAGCAGGTTTATCAATCTGAACTTGCTTGTAGTAAATGAGCTTTTTTTGATACGGTATAACTGATGCACGTTTTGATATTACTTATTTTATTGATTTCTTGAATAGATTAATCGCATCGGGGATCTCTTGGAAGCTTGGTCCTCTAAAGTGCAATAGGTCATGGGTTCGATCCATGGCCGGTCCAAACCAAAGTTTGAAAATCGTTATTTCGTGCTAAACACGCGAAACATAAGAGTAAAAACAAATTCTGTTCGGTTCGCAGTCAAAACATGTGTCCGGGATTAGTGATATGTCTTCTTGTGGACTGTACCTTGTGAAATAACAAGTTAAAAAATCTGGCTCAGCGTGTCAGTCTTGTACAAAAAAGCGTTCACATTCATATAAAAATTTCACGTTCTCGTTCTTATTAAGAATTTAGTTTGCCGCTGGACGTTAAAAAAACAATCCATCAACACCAACTATAATATATTAAGAAGTTTATATTCTGTGTTTATTCTCTTGTTTATTGTTGAAGACAGTAGACTTTTAGCTGATTGAGATTCTTTTGGGGTATTGATTACTTGTTGTAAATTTGGCCCGCATCTTAAAAAAAAATATCAAATCAATTATTGATTATAAGATAAACACATTTCTTTTCTCGAAAGCATGTTCCCTTATTTCAAATAAAATTAAGACTATTATAATTGAAAACCTTATCTATGCTTAGTTGTCTTGCATATTAATAGAAATTGATTTTTGTCATAGAAAATGTAAAGTATTCAACCCTAAGGAGTGCCCTTTTTTGTTAATTCAATCAATAATCTAAACATTATACTTTAAATATAAAGAATTTGCCCTTCATGCATTTTTAAAACTAGGATGCAAACATATATATATTTCTTTTATATAGTGTAATAGAACAACAATTTGGCAAAATATTAAATGGGCTCTTCTGACTCTTCTCAATTCAAGTAAAAATAAATTGCTTCAATTTCGGAGTTTTGTATTGAATGATCGAAAGTTTAACATACAGTTTGTGCATGGATATTAAAAAGAATGAATGATTGTAATAGGGATGTTAGACGCATATGTGAATGCACAGTTCTCTTTTTTTCCAGATTATAAATGTATTCAAAGCGGCTACCAGGAAAAACCAAAATGTATAGACGATAAGTAAGGTTTCACTGTAGATATTTGTGAGCTTGTTCTTTTATGGATATTGTGATTTTTGAGTTTTCAAACTTTTTTCTTGATTTTAACAGTCAATTTCATTTTAATTATATTTTATAGATAAGTATTTAAATTTAAAAACAAGACAGTCGTTCCGTCCTCACAAAGTCTTGACATTTTACTCTTTATCTATCACAAATGTATTACTATACCAACAACAGTTTTGTATGACGTATAAGAACAATACCTCCTTTTGTCTATCTGTCTGCAAGTCAGGCCAACTGCATTGATATTCTATCATTTATTAAATAAGTTTGAAAGGACCCGATCATCACCGATGCTGATCACCACATGCTGAATATGTTTGTTTTTTTTGTTATGTCTAGTTACGAATCTTCAATCTTTGATTTTTTAATACCCATCACTCATCTCTCATAGTATGAATAACTTGAAGGTGAGCACGTTGGTGAGATGTTGCTGACATTTATTGAGGATAATTTTTTTTCCAATTGTTTAATTTTTTTTTTTAGATTTCGTATTCTAAAATATGGTGTCCTTTATTATTACTAGAGAGATTTCAGACACTAAATATGTTTTTTTTTAAAAATAATTAACACTCAATGGTCATCAAAAACGATCTAGTTCAACTTAATTCATACCGTTTATTTAATAATCTTATGATATTGAATTTTTGACGGATTTTATCAATGTATAAACTCAATCCACTCATTGACAAGTTTAACAAAGTGAAAAAAGCCTGTATGTTAAACTGGTGATTTACAGACAGAGCTTTTAACAGAAAGACATAGTTAACACATCAAATAATTTCGTAAAAATCCTTACCATTCCAATTAAAGGTGGAAATAAATAAATAAATGTACAATTTAAAAGATTTATAAATGAATAAGTAAATAAAAAGTAGTGTACTTGTTGCTTTTATTTGTTGTCAATAAACTGTATTTGAGCGAGTACTTTCACTAATTTATACGAGCGACGTTGACAAATATGATATTTTTTTAATCTAGAAGACAATGGCTCTGATCTTGATTTACTTATATTGACACAGCTGTTCGACGTAAACATTGATATATGACATACTAGTTGACATTCGTTTTTCCATCGTCTACCCTTAGTTCTCGTAAGCTATACAGTTTGCCCAATGTATGCATGTGGTGTTTAAATATGTCAATATACCATTTCCATATTACTGACTTTTGACTCCGGAATTTATATTTTTTCTACAGGTTACCGTCTCTGTGGTAGGACATCCTGGTACTCGGTCAGGCAAAGGCAACGTAAATCAGTAAATTCAAGCTTTTAATCGGTACAATTTTGAGGGAAAGGTAACTGTTTAATGCTTTCTATACATGACTAAATCATCGGAAAACAGTAAACTTTTCCCCCAAATTGCACCGATTATATATTTGATTTTACTTCTTTTGGTTGTTCGTAATTGACCGAGTACCAGGACGGCCTACCACAGAGTAGGTAACCTGTCGAATAATTATAGAACCGGGAGTCAAAAGTCGGTAATATGAAAATGGTCTATTAACACTTAAAACGTTACCGCGTTTATTATATACGAAATTCATGAACAGGGGTTAGCTCCTTACGCAAAAGTGATCTAGCAGAGTTATTAAGTAGATCAACTGAAATTTAGACTGCACAACTGTTATGGTCACCATGATAAAGTGTCTCAGCTCTAAAGAGACAGATATGAAAATACCGATTGATCTGTAAAGTTAACGATTAAGCCATATTCCTCATTTAGACATTCGGACTAAGTGTGCATCGCAATGCGGCTGGTGCATGCATAAGTTGAAGTTCATGTGGTTCCCATAGTTTATTTTTGTCTTGATTTGAGTATTCAACATGTTTTGCGAAATATTAGAATCGATAAGCTATTGTTTGCCTAATATAACCAATATTAAAGTCTGTTATTGATTCGTTATGTAAACGTTAAACAACTGTAATATACTTGAATGCATATGTATTATGAATTGTTATCTAGATATTACGTAACAGTGGATGACACTAACAGGGTCCTCATCGAAAGGAATGAAACGTGGTTAAGTGTTCCAAGTAAGTTATAAGAGTTGTTTTTACAGATTTTAAAACGTGTTGAGACTTAATTGAATATAATGAAATGGTGCTGAGACTTCATGGCATGTAATGAAATCGGAATTTTGAATTACATATCCCACATCTTCATACAACAAAAGAACGTACAACCGCACAGACGATTACACAATATGATCGACTTAAAGAAAACAGAAAACGTTTGGTTAACATATGAACACAACCATGATCATTGTATTAACTATCTTTGTTCAAGTTCAAGTTCAGAGTTCAAAAGCTTTATTGATAGACGAAATCAGGATACAGAAAACATAAGCTCTATTGAGGTTTTATATCGTCTTAGTAGTTTCAGGAAACGAAAGGTTCTGCTAGAGTCACCTTCTTTTGTACGTCTTTTACTCCTTAGTTATATGAATAAAATGCATCAACGAATATACTTCTGCTTATTTAGATGTTTCAGACAAATAAAAGACCACAAGATACACTAGATACACGTAACTAATGACTATAGAAAAAATGGTTTGTTTAATTCAATGAAAACTTTCCACAGTTAGGACAAATTAGATATAGGGATATGTTTGCCATTTTTGCTTTTATAAGGCTGTTTGTTTTCTATTCTCTCATTTGTACCAGATATCGCCTTTCATTCTTGTCAGACTATTCATTTAGCTTTAATCATTTGGTTATCTCTGATATAAACGAGATATTTGTTCTTAATACTAATAATATCATACATATTTTGTAACGGAATCTTTGAACTTTTATTTTCCATATTTTCAGCTTTCAAGCTCAAGTTCAAGTGGAGGGACACACCTGACGCAACCATATTGTTTATTATTTGTGTCATGCATATAATTGGTGAGTGCGATAAGAGATAAGATAAAATATTATAGTTTTTCAAAACATTTACCTTCATGCGCTTTTTTGGCCTCTTTTACACTATGTGTTTATTATCAACAAAAGCGATTATGAATAACAATGTTTATAGCTGCAATTTATTCTTATATGTATTTTGTCTGCTTTTATATTTTAAAGCATAAACTTTGAGACAGCTGAATGATCCCGTTAGGATGTTTCAATAAATTGAGGTGACACGAACAATACATTTATTTGTGTATCCAGTTAAACATGTTGAACGACTGTGTAAATGATGATACTCCGTAAATGCAATGGTCATTGTCATATTGCATCACTTTCTTCTCATTATGTTTCTATCAATGCCACCCTATCATTGAAAATAGATCAGACCAACATCTAATTCCTTTGTACATAAAAGAAAAGTCTGTTTCTATCATCTCTTAAACTAAAACCACGTCAATCACGTCTAAAATTCTCACCTCAAACTAGAGTTACAATATTTCAATATTGATGCATTCATATTCGTTTGCACGTGTGTAAACCGTACATTTATATATTAAACGAGCGCTTGCATTTTCTATCATAATTTCCTAGATAGAGAGTTTGCTGCTAACAAGGAAGCTATTAAACCAAGAGTTCCGTGAAGTGAAATTGAAGTTATCCCTTCGAACATTTTAGAGACCCGATCACTCTGATAGAAAAATAAGTCTAATTTTGTGTTTAAGAAGGGGAAATTATATTCAATACTTAACACTCTATTTCAAATAAAAAAGTTTTCTGAAACTGCTCTTCTATTCGACTTGTTACTTTATTGTTGTATGGTTAATTTCACACATGACCGTATCAGAAGGAAAATAAGGTAGCATTATTTTTTAACTTCACGTTCCAATATAAAGATGATGTCCCCTCTCTAATTAATTGAAAGTTTGGTGACATCTAGAAATCGATTATGTGGATCGGTCGAGTAGTATACTTTACGATAGACATATTTTCTTATTTCTGATTTTGAACATTCCATTTCAACGCAGCAGCATTCCAGCCTATTTATACAGTATGTTTCCCCCTGTTGATTTCTTTGCATTTTGGTTGCTGCTTACAAGGAAGATATTTCATAAAGTGTGTCTGTAGTAAAGTTAAAATCAGCCCATCGAAACTTTTCTGGATGCAATCATAAATTGGCTTATCGGTAGGGAATGTTTGGGTCACAGATGACCACGAAGATGTTCGAATTGTGACCGCAATTCCGTTCTCTATTTTCTATATATGAATGCTATTCACCTTATGATTTTGTTTTGTTATGAACAGCACCACGGTGTCATTAGCAGAGCTAGATCTACTTACTCTTCCGAAGCACTTGATGTTACCTTGTTAGTTGTTGACGTTTGTATTATTCAGTCCTTAGTTTTTTAAGTGTTTGTAGAATGCTGTTTATCGTTCGTCGTTTTTCTTTGAATAATGATTTTTTAGTTTTCTCTTGGTTTTTTTTCTTCATCATATTACGAACCCTATGACAGTCATAAATTTAATAAAAATAACTTTGCCAAATATCAGTGAAAATTATGCAATACATCATATGCAACTATGTTATTTTCATAGAAATTTGTGTTAGTGCAAGGGTCGTCAGTAAGTATAACGGGGCAATGTAAGTGTGGTATATGTTATTTATTATTTAGTATTTTATTAAAATTATCGGCTATTTACAACGAAAGCCGCCATAGCAAACATTTAGTTTAATCTCTCTTCTTTCATCACTGTATTTTGTTCGCATTATTTCATTAAATTCTGAAGTTTAATTTTATTTCAGTAATAACTATAATAATACGCCTCTTCAATTATTTTGATATGAATGTATCAAGCGATATCAATTACCGGTATTCACTCGTTATAAAATAAACAACTTTGATACGGACAGGCATCAATCAGATTAAATGACAGCTGAATAACTCACATTTTTCAAACGTATGTCATTTGATGTGGTCGATTGTAGCTTGCATGCTGCTCATAAAAAAAATCTAAAACGTATATGACTATTTACGTTGACAAATATTTATAAAGTTGTGACTCTGAAGAGGAAATCCTCGGAATTAATGCGAATGATTGTTGCTGGCAAATGCGTAATTCACGTAGTTAGGAGGATAAAACATATTAATAAAAACGTATTTGTCATTAAAATAGAGACAACAATAATTTTTGAGTACGTCTTTAATTCAAAAGAAATAGAATAAAGACATAAAACACAACAAAGCAAACCAAATCAAAAACACAAACACAAACCGGTCAACTCTATTTAATAAAAGTGTAGTAATATTTACTAAAACCGCCATAGTTGAAAACATTTCACACTTTGAAATTGATGTATGCAAACATTAAATAATTAACATATTCAAATGGAGTTCATAAACATTTTTACATATGTTAAATAATTGTGTATCCCTTTTAACCGAATCCAAAAAACAATCTGAACATTCGTCTACTTTGTACGAATAAAAGGTAATTTACATACATCTAGTACTAAACAGAACAGAATTGTGAGTAAACAAATACGATGCCAGTAAATGAAAATAACACTTTACAGATTAGGTTTGCCCAAAGCAATTTTCTACATTTGCCTGCGTTGGAGCCTTATTTTCTAATATAAAAGAACTTTACTTAAAAACTCACACATCTGTGAGGAAACAAAACTCCAAGATCACAATATTAAAAAAACAACTTCAATATGTAAATGTTAGTGTTATCTGAAATTACATATTTTGATTTTTACTCTTTCAGTTGCAGTAGGATTTTTCTTTGCTGTTTTAATACACTATTTGGCTAAAGAACATCTATTGCATTGTTTGTCAGGACCCATTCAGATAAAAAAAGGTACTATAAAATCTGAAAGAAAAACAACAGTACAATATCTGAGATTATTGACAATCAAAGACATCAAAACATATGATTTTTCTCTATTACTCTTCCTTATATTGTATACAAACGCAAACATTGCACATATGTTATTGTATGAGAGTGTATATGCATTAATGCTTATAAAAAATATTTCTGCCTAAAACATTTCTATTGCATTATTCAACTTCAATCAAGATGTGACATTTTTTGTAGCCTGTCATATATCGCTTTCGTGTTTTGACATCTGTGACTATGTGTACATGTCATCATGCTGCAGTCGACTCATTACTGTACAAAGCAAGTTTTAAATATCCATTAAATTTATATAAAAAAAAAACATTGATACTTGTCTTAAAAATTTCATAGATACATTAAGTTTATTCTTGAAAAAGCATTTTCCCAAAAAAATTCATCATCAATTTTTTAAATTTGCTTTGTATTTTCCCCGGGCAAGTATGTTGAATCATGATTTTATATCTTCATTTTAAATAAATGCTTTAACATTGACAATTTTGTTACCTATATTAGTTATATTTGCCAAAGATAATTGTATTTGTGACACTGTAATATTTGTATAAAAAAATGTTAACTGATGAATTGCAAAACATATTCATTATTGTTTTCTTTTTGTTTTAGGTAGAATCAGCATTAATGGTAATCGTTCAAGTGTAGACCTACAATCTTTAAAAGTATATATTGGAATTGATCAAATAGGTAAATTCGATTCGGATAAAGAATGGAAAACGTTCTTCCAGTACTAAAATATGATTGACTCTTAAAATCTTCTCGGTTGACACTACATTTTGTTAAATGGTTATATTAGATAATAGCTTTGGTAGATTGAGCATGCCTGATGAATATGAATAAAAGGATACGCTTTGAGACACTAATCTACAGGGCATCATATATGTATTGTTTTGTTCGTTTTGATACTATGAAAGATAAGTAAACGCATGTTAAAAAAAAACCCTGTCATTTATTAAGTGCGCTACTATCTACAATCCTCAGTATGAATGGTAATCGTAATACTTCTTTTCAGATTCTGAGATAGACGACATCACAGCAAGCGAAAATGTGTCGATGGATACCATTGACGGAAATGATCATGTATCATGTGATAGAACTTCAGATGATAAAGGACAGAGTATTTACAATATATAATATATAATTAGAATAACGAACATAACTTTTTAAATACATTTTTATCTGTATTTATATATAATTGCAAAATATAAACACATTTATCTTCAAGACAAAGTGAAATACTAAATAACGACTTTGCATATTTATTTCAAAGGTCAAATAGGTGCGTCTGTGGCCTAGTGGTGTAATAAATTCAACTACTAGCCTGTCAACACTGAGGTTGTGAGTTCGAGTCCCGCACGTCGCAGGTGTGTTCAACTACCGCGTTTTCCAGTAATGACTTGAACTGCATTTACCTATTTGACCTCACGTGGCAGGTGCGTTCGACTCCAATTTAATTGACCAGGATTGTCAATGTTCCTAGCGAAGGTGTGCTTCACTCCGATTATTAAGACTTCATCCGCCAATAAAAACTGACAGCAACGAAATCGTCAACTGTCCTGAAATCGGCGTTAAACACCAATCAATCGAACAAACAATCAATGATCAATTCATATACAGAATACTAACAGATGAGAACGTGTAGTTTATCCGATTTTGCGAATACTGATTGAGTTCATTTGTATATTTACATTTATCTTACCTTCTATAGATTTATGGGGATATGATTGGTTAATCGACTACACGTGGTGACCATATATATTTCATATAGGTTGTCCTAAAAAATACATTGTTAGTTACCATATACGGTTAGCAACCATATGGAGTTAGTAAGGGGTTACTTCCCTTTTAAAAAAAAATGACATCTGAAAGGTTTTAAACAGACGAGGTAACTGGTAATAAACGATTGAAATACATTCATAAAACAAATTTAAAGCTAACACGTTGTTATTGTTGGCATTTGTTTTTTGTATAGACAAATAAAAGTAGGTTCTTAAACATGTTAAAATTAAGTATTGAAGTCTTTTAAATCACTTTGATAGGCCGCTAGTCTTAATACCACATGGGAAGATAGTCGGTAAGATAAATTCGTTACACGGTGTGATAGTGACCAAATACGATATATATGGGGTCAGTAAGTTTCATATGGGGATTCGAGCGTCGCTCATACCCCATATGGAATTTACTGACCCCATATATATCGTATTAGGTCACTAACACACTATGTAACTAATAATATATGTTATTAGTCCCCTACCGACGAAGTCGAAGGGGACTTTAGGTTTGCACTCTGTCCGTCTGTCTGTCGTACCGTCCGTCTGTCCATCCGTCAGTCCGGCAACTCAGCTTTCCACACTTTTTTTCTTCGTTCTTGAAGATATTGATTTGATATTTGGTATATAGTTTTATCATGACAAGTTATAGATCAAGTTCGAATTTTGTTCCGGTCTGATGATTTAGTCCAGAGTTATGGTCCATGAAAAAACTCCATAACTAATGTGAGTGTACTATGTTAAACCATATAATCTGTACAAAGGGAGATAACTCATTTTTTAAAAGACATTCTTTGGTAAATTGTTTGAGGAATTTTGTGGCAGGTTTATATGTTATTTTGTATAAACTAATTTTCTGAATGCCACATGTATATATATCTATTTTTTTTTATTAAGTGAAATCCTTTAATTAGATAATAATCTATTCTTATTAAGGTATATATTTCATTACATTAGTTGTTGACATTTTATAGGTAAGTTACAAATCTATATTAGTTTGTGACAAATGAAAGAAAAAATATTTGGAACTATTAATTATATTTGATTGTAATTTGAAAATAGATATACATTGTATTACATCATATCTAATGTTAGAGTGTTATAGGTTTTTCACACTTTTTTTCATCATGCTTGAAAATATTGATTGACAATTGGTAGATAGTTTTATCATGACAAGTTACAGATCAAGTTCAAATTTTTGTTTCGGTCTGATAATTTTGTGCAGAGTTATGGACCTTGGACTTGAAAAAATTCACTCATATAATCAGTTTTCCACAGTTTTTAGTCATGCTTGAAGATATTGACTTGATATTTTCTTTTTGTTTACACCATGACAAGTTATAGAACAAGTTAGCATTTTGTTCCAGTATAATGAATTTTTACCCGGTAGGGGACTATGTATTGCCATGCAATACTCTCAGAATGCTTGTTAATATCAACTTTTAAACATCTATTAGAATTTAAATATCGAACACAAAACTTCAGTAATAATGTTATTTGAAAAATGCAAATGTCATTTCCAACTACAACTACATATATACGATTGAAGTTTGTTAGCAGAATATATATAGAATGTATAACATAAATATGCTATTTGTATGAATCAACTACAAGCCAGTTGCATTTTTGTTTCAATTAACAACAAATGTACGGCAATACATGCGTAATACTATTGAATATCAATTTGCAGTTTTGCAAAATAGATAACATGTCTTATTGTTCAAGCATATAGACAAATATCGTTACAGATAAAGATGTAATCGTTATCGAAAAAACAGAGATAGTGTCTGCAATGGACGTATCCAATCATGACTCTTGTAAAAGTACTTCAGATGATCAAAAACATGGTATTTACAAATCGTGTTGTTTAACGAAATATGTCAGAGTTTTTTTTTTATTCTGTTTGAATAATGACACAAAGTAAGCTCACTACTAATAACATATTCTGTTCTTTTTTTTTTAACTTTTTAAAATATAATTGGCACCTAGTGAGTCAGTCCGTAACATATTCTTATCATAGATAATGGTTGTTTTGAAGTGAGAAAAGAACGAGTGTACGTAGAAGTACACAAACCATTAAAATATGGTTAGTAAATTTTAAGCTAATATTAATAATTTGTATTCAAATAGCGGATTACTATTGTACGTAAGCATTAATATTGTATATGTATAAACGAAATTTTATCATGTTTTTATCCTTCCCTTAAAAATATTGTAAGCAAGAATCTGATCAGCTAAGTGAATAGAAAATTAACATTTTACTCTAAGTACTTTAATTTTTTATGACCATTCCTCCTGAAGCTTTAGTATATTTATTCAGATTTTGATATATAGGGTTAACTTTCAGCTTTTCATATTCCAGCTAAACCAACTGCAGAAGAAGTTTACTTTTTACGAATGATTCATCTTCTGTTCAGAGTGGCATGTCCAGTTGTTCGAATGACTTTTGACCATGAGATCCAACCAAACCAGTTAAGAAGGTCACTTGATAAAAACAAGACATTAATGAACAAACGATACAGAAAGAAAGAAAAGATCATCAATGATTGTCAATGGGATCTATTATATAGATCTGTCAAAGGTATACAATAAACGAAGTTAATAGTTACCATGTTAGATGTCTATGCATGCTTGAAAGACATTTTTGTAAGAATTTTAACATTTTTTTTTCTTCCCACAGTTAATGTGAATAAAAGTAGATGTGGGATTACGTCAAAGACGAATCCTACATACATGAAAATCAAATTACAACTAAAGGTTGCATGTTAAGTGCGGTCTACTATAAACATCATAGATATATAACGGTCTATTACCAATATCCATTGGTTTTGCTAGATACACACACAACAATGAATTAAAGAAGAAATATAGATTCCATCAAAGCTACAAGTGTGCTGCGATATTTCTCCACAGCTAAATTTTGTTATTTAAAGCGCCAGGCTTGTCGAGCTTTTTAAATCATTCAAACTTAACTGTTAGGGTAGAGAAATATCGTAAGGCACGAGTTAAAGTGGTGGAATCTGTTTCTTTTATGATTTATATCCTTCCTTTTCCAAAGATTTTGCAGAAAGTTGTGTTCTTTATATGACGTCATCAGACATTGTCGCCTTTTTTCATGACATCACAATAGGAAATTCAGAAGAAACCAAGAAAATATGACGTCATAATAAATTTCGACCAATCGTTTGCCGAGAGAACAGATATTTCCCTAGTGAGGAGAACAATTTTTTTCACAATCGGTTGGGAAATTTAAAAATAGGGAAAAAATAAGAGAACAAATGTTTTATATATTTAAAAAATGTTATAACAAAAATATCGAATGCCAAGGAGAATTCAAAAAAGGGAATTAAAGTGTAAAAAAAAAACGAAAAAAAACTCGAATATATCAACCAGTGGAAAAACTGAAAAAAACAATTGCTATATTCCTGACTTGGTACTTGAATTTTGTCGAAGAAATGTGGGTTAAACCGGTAATTATCTAGTGTAGGTTCACACTTGTATGACAAATGTATACAATTCAGTTTAATTATTTGAGCAGCCGAACCGGACTTAATTGGTTTAAGTGACAATAATTGGGACCAAGAACCCTAAATTTTGTAAACATACATTATCAATATACAACTTAGCAAAATTAGGTAATCCAAACAAGCACACTATTAATCTCACAAATACGGCAACAAACATGCATAATTATCTAAGCTACAGATCTAGATGGATACCCCATATCCTTTGTTTTTCCATTATAAAACTGTGTCGAAATCAGAAGGACACGGAATCCTTTTAAAAAAATTGATAAAATAACTAGCGGTATTTACAGTATGTCAAAACAAATACAACATTGGAACAAACTGCTAATTAATCCTTCTTATCCTTCTTATTCTATTGATATTACATCTTTACTACAAATATAAAAAAGACGATGGTATATAATTGCCAACGAGATAACTCTTCACAAGAGACCAAATGACACAGAAATTTACAGCTATAGGTCACCGTACGGCCTTCAACAATGAGTAAAGCCCAACGCTGTTTTTTATTCAATAAAAAACCTTCGTTTATATATCAATTTTAACAGATATCTAGAGAACTGATAATCAACGTATATTTAGTTACAAGTTCCGGAATTTGCCTGTACACTTTCCAAAAAATAATAACACAAAAATACTTTCACTATATATCTAGAATATTCTTGAAATTTTCATTCACTTTAACTCGACTATGTCTAACAATTAAAATTACATAAATAATATCAAATAAGGTTGCGTGAATACATAGTTTTGACCTGTCCGTCCATCAGTGCGTCATACATCAAGGTTTTCCGGATGGGAATAAATCAATAAATTTATATCTTACTGCAGATTTTTATGAAAGTTTTGTAGATATACGGACAAAAAATTAAAAGAAGGTTATACTTATTATTCACTATGTCTATTGTGTAAATGTAAAAGTTACTAAAATTAAACTGAAATGTATACAATCATGAGGTTTTAGGATGCTGAATAACTGTTCTAACGGAAGGGGTTCTCCATTGTATATATTGTCATCCAATATAAAAGGAAAATTTCTATTGATTTTTTGAGGTCGCTACGTCTGATGATCTCTGATGTAATGGTCAAAGTTATCAAGAGAAAGAAACTGAACTTTTTTGCAAGAAATGAATTTCAGATGAAAAATCAAATATTTCTTATTAGATATATGGTCAATGATGATAAAAGAAAGATCCCTGATGAAAAAAATCCCTACTGAATTCGAGGTCAAACAATACCTCTGGATGGGATCATTGTACCTAAAAATAGACCGAAATTTGTGCTGACAAATATTCGTTGGATGCTTAACCATTACTTTGTCGAACTGCAATCTCAAATAGATATGGTCATACTGAACAATATATAGATCCCTATTGAATTTGTAGTTGCTAGGTCAAAATTCACGTCAAATGTAGTAAAAATAAATATTTATGTGACACAAAATAACAGCCTGAAATCAATAGTAACAAACTTAGAAGTTAACAAAAACTATGCAAACAGCTCTTCTTTTTTTCATTTTAAGCGTTGGTATGTGGTAGGTTCCTTCATTGTTTATAGCGAATTTTGATTAATCAATTATATCAATTCGTCTAGAAAATAAAAAAAAAAAGATCTATGAAATAAAAATGACTGTAAAATAAGATTGTTTTGTTAAGGATGTATTCTTCTGACTTTTCAGACTCGTTGAAATCTCGTTCTGGAATTATTTCCGAAACATGTGATACACGTGGAAAATATCATAATCAAACTTTACTTTGTGAAAAAATTGTGTATTTACAACAAGTAGTTTTTGAGTAATAAAATTTTCAAATTTTATTACCAATCAAGTCAGTCTCATTACCCAAAATGTCGAGAAAATGGGTGAGGAGTACAAGAAATGATTTTACCAGAAACATGTACATCCCATATCATTTTTTTCTTTTCAAATTTCTTAGATATGTATTTTTTTCAATCATTTATAACAGAGAAGTTGAAATAATATGCTTTTTGTTCTATAAAAAAGAGAAAAATCCCTAATTTACAAAATTGACAGCATGGTAAATTTGACACGAAAAAGCAACACAATTTTATAAAACAGTCTTATATTAACACCTACCTATAGTTTTTTTAATTTAAATTAATTCAAATTGGTCCACTTCATCTTTATTGAAAGTATGAAAATAAGTTTAATTTGGCTCCTCAGAGGTGTACATCCTCGATTTTTACAAAGTTACACATAGCTTTGCAGCCTTCTGTTACATAATAGTTTTTATTCTAGCGGAATATTATATAGATATCATTTCATAAAAATTTAGAATAAGTGAAACAAACTCATCAAATATATGAGGTTGATAATTATGTCCGACAGATGCGCGTATCGTTTCCATAAAAATCAAAAGAGTTGGAAGGACAAATCAACTACACTAGTAAATGAATTTTAGTCTAAATCAGTCATCTTGATCTTAATTTAAAAATAAGTAGATGTGATATGATTTAACATCAGACTGATCAATATATTGATTGGCTATGTTAAGTCTCTCAGTCAATGTTAAGACTTTTTCACTGCGGTAAATTCAGTACTGTACACTAGCTTTCTAGACAGTTCTGTATGATTCATATGTGAACAATGAAATAACAAATACTGGACAGTCTGAACATGGATTGAACAGATCTTGAGTTGTGGTTGTGTTGCTCAATCTTTACTTTGTTATGTTATGTTGTGTTTTGTAAAGTGTTGTTTGTAATTTGTTCGTTTTCGATATTGTTTTCCATGGCGATGGCAGTTTATAATCGAATTATAAGTTTGAATATCACTTTGGTATCTACCGCTTTGCCTGGTACAGGTAGTTAACATTTGTTTTGTACTACATGTTTAGTGTTTATTATATGGCGTTATTTATATATATTCTACCATTATCTGTCTTTGTTGTTCTAGAAAAAATTGTAACATCAGAAGATTTTGATATAAGTCTCATGATAAACTTATTACGTACACTTGCACCAAACATCACAATTGGCGATTTATATCCAGTTCGGACAGATACAAGTATCGACGCAATGCTTTCTAGAATTAAATACAGAAGAAATGAAGCAATCCAAAGCTTTGAAGGAAAACTATCACAAAAGCAGTTTGAAAAATATTGGAATGAAAGCGGACAGGTAAACTATTAATTCATTGTCTAAAATATGTTGTGTTGTTTTCAGAATGGTCGTTTAAATTCAGTTTTAAAAAAGTACACTCGTGGCCATGTCCGGTGAACACAATCGTGCAAAAACAATACGATAAGGGAGTTTTGCAATTTCAATTTTTTTATTGAAAGGTAAAATAATGCGTAAATATGGTTAGTTTTATATTTTTTTAAAAATTCGCTACGGATGAAAAAAAAAACAAATTATATTATATTTGATGTAAATCATAGCATCAAGAAACGCTACGGTGTGGAATTTTTTGTTGTTCTTAGTTTATATATATATCTATTTTTTTTTTCTTCTCGTATGGAAAGTCGCTATGAGTTTAACATAGTTATATTTATGTGGCAGTGTCGATAAAACCTGTCTTTAAGATATCATATTATATATCTGTCTATATAAAATACAATGGACAAAGTACAAGATGACCTGTATGAATGATTGAGATATGTAAGCACATAAAAACTCTCATTTGAAAAAGGGACTGACACTACCGAAGGCCATTTGTTGTTTATAAATATCTGTCAAAACTGTTCCATTTCATCTTGTTTGTATACCTGTTCCTTTTATTAGTATCTTTGCACAAATATAGATACTGTTATGGTATTAATTATTTTTGGGGTGTTAAAAATTCTTTAGAGATTTTAGATAAAATACATGCTTTTGATGGTCCTTTTGGTTCTGTTGACAGTTATGATTTTTCTACTCTCTACAATACACTTCCACACAATCTAATAAAGAAAAAATTTTCATATTTAATAAAATGGTCTTTCGAAAAATCTCATTTTAAATTTATTTGCTGTAACTCGTTTAAATATATATAGGAAGATGTGGTATGAGTGCCAATGAGACAACTCTCCATCCAAGTTACAATTTATAAAAGTAAACCATTATAGGTCAAGGTATGGCCTTCAACACGGAGCATTGGCTCACACCGAACAGCAAGCTATAAAGGGCTCCAAAAAAATACTAGTGTAAAACCATTCAAACGGAAAAACCAACGGTCTAATCTATATAAAAACGAGAAACGAGAAACACGTATGAACTACATAAACAGACGACAACTACTGTAATCAGATTCCTGACTAACGACAGGTGCAAACATTTGCAGCGGGATTAAACGTTTTAATGGTACCAAACCTTCTCCCTTTTCTGAAACAATAGTATAACATCACAACATAGAAAAACACACTATAAAATATCAATTGGAAGGCTTCACTCAATCAAAAAACGTAAATTAACACTCAATGAACGAATAAATTTGACCTGTGACACCTGAATGCAAATAAACAGTTAATAAAAAAATACAAGGGATAAATAATTAAAGTCAAAAGTAAATAAACAGGTTTAAACAAAGTTAAATTATGATATCACTGTGAAATGTCAAACAATTTATAGAAAATTAAAGCCTTTTTCTGTGACGAAAAAGGAAAGTATGCGAGATACACTTACTGGAAATGTGAGGAAATGATTGAAGCTTTAAATTTTCTCCTAGATAACATATATGTACGTTTCGGCGATAAAGTGTATCGTCAGGTAGTAGGTATTTCCTATGGGCACTAACTGCGCCCCTTTAATAGCAGATTTATTCCTGTATTGCTATGAATCTCAGTTTATGACCAAACTCAGTAGAGACACATCATTGTTACATTTGGTTGATACATTCAACAATACCTACCGTTATCTGGATGATATTTTTTCGTTAAATAATCCAGAGTTATCTAAATATACTACCGAAATTTACCCAAAATAACTTACTTTAACTAAATCTAACATAAACAGCAGCAGTTGTCCTTTTCTAGATTTAGACATTTCAATTTCTAAAGGGAAACTCCATACTAAAATTTACGACAAAAGAGACGATTTTTCATTCCCTATTGTTAATTTTCCTTTTTTAGACGGTGATGTGCCTTTGGCTCCATCATACTATATTTATATATCCCAACTCGTTCGGTATGCCCGTGTGTGTAGTGATGTCATAGATTTTAAAGAACGTAATCAATGCATCACTGGTAAATTATTAAGTCAGGGATTTCGTTACCATAAATTACTTAAAACTTTTACTAAATTCTTTCATAGATACAAATATTTGATTAGAAAATTTGGCTGTACCTGTAGAAAACTTATTAAAAGTGGTATTTCACATCCTTAATTTTTTAATTTTATCGTAATATTGTACTTAAAGCGCGGAAATCATTATGTGATCCGTGTAAATTCATCGAATCTTTAAACAAACTTATTAGTAAGGGTTATCGTACCAATGTTGGAATTAGATCTCTGAATATAGTTTACATTGGCACTAATATCGATTTTGTCATTAGCAAATTAAAACATATCTAAATTTGTATTTTCTTTTCAAACGGGATGTATAGAGACACACACACATTCATTTTTATCTATAAAGAAGTCGCTCCTAACTATCCTACTACCTGTCGATACATTTATTTTTGGCATTGCACAAGTCATGTCTTCTTTGACTGTTCATGACGTTTAAATACTAAATCCCTGGGATGTATTTTAGTTGATTTTAGTCTCTGATGCATGATTTTTTTTATTAGTCCCCTACCGACGAAGTCGAAGGGGACTTTAGGTTTGCACTCTATCTGTCTGTCTGTCCGTCCGTCTGTCCATCTGTCAGTCCGGCAAATCAGCTTTCCACACTTTTTTTCTTCGTTCTTGAAGATATTGATTTGATGTTTGGTATATAGTTTTGCCATGACAAGTTATAGATCAAGTTCGAATTTTGTTCCGGTCTGATGATTTAGTCCAGAGTTATGGACCATAACTCTGGGCCGTATCTAATGTTAGAGTACTATGTTAAACCATATTTCTGTACAAAGGGAGATAACTCATTTTTTAAAAGACATTCTTTGGTAAATTATTTGAAGAATTTTTTGGCAGGTTTGTTTGTTATTTTGTATAAACTAATTTTCTGAATGCTATATATATATAAAAAAAATTATGAAGTGAAATCCTTTAATTAGGTAATAATCTATTTTTATTAATGTATATATTACATTACATTGTGTAGATAAAAATTGTTAACATTTCATAGATAAGTTACAAATCTATATTAGTTTCTGAAAAATAAAAGAAAAAATATTTGGAACTATTAATTATATTTGATTATAATTTCAAAATAGATATACACTGTATTACATCATATCTAATTTTAGAGAACTATTAATCATATCTAATGTTAAAGTGTTTTCCACACTTTTTTTCATCATGCTTGAAGATATTGGTTCATAATTGGTATATTGTTTCATGATGACAAGTTATACAGATCAAGTTCGAAATTTTGTTTCGGTCTGATAATTTTGTGCAGAGTTAAGGTCCTTGGACTTGAAAAATTCACTCATTTAATCAGTTTTCCACACTGTTTTTAGTCATGCTTGAAGATATTGACTTGATATCTTCTTTTTGTTTACACCATGACAAGTTATACAACAAGTTAGCTTTTTTTTCCAGTATAATGAATTTTTACCCAGTAGGGGACTATGTATTGCCATGCAATACTCTCAGAATGCTTGTTATTAATTGTTTTGGCTTTTAACTAGCTGTCAGTAACTGTGAGTACTCTCAAATCGTACTTTCTTTTTAATTTGACCTGTTGATACTATTTGTAATGCTTTTTTGTTATTTAACGTTAACATGGATTTTGTCTATATACCAGTTTTGATTATTTGGTATTACTACAAATTTTCACTTCTTCGTACTATGAACATCAAAATTATTTCATTTTTCCTGAGATGCTGTTCTTGGACCTGTACAGGAAGTTTTATCTAGCACTAATTGTATAGTTTTATTGTTGATATTCACCCCATATGTACCAAGTGTTAGATTAGTTTTACTGATATTAAAGAAATTTCTTGGTATTCCTAAACGGAAGATTTTATACACACAGAAGAAGAAGTATACATAACAACAAAATTATTTTCATTTACCTGTGTATAATATGACGCAGGTTTCTTCAAAAGTGATGATTTTCTAAAAATTGTTTGACATTTCACTGTGATATCATACTTTAACTTTGTTTAAACCTGTTTATTTACTTTTGACTTTAATTATTTATCCATTGTAATTAGTTATTAACTGTGTATTTGCATTCAGGTGTCACAGGTCAAATTTATTCGTTCATTGTGTGTTAATTTACGTTTTTTGATTGAGTTAAGCCTTCCAATTGATATTTTATAGTGTGTTTTTCTATGTTGTGATGTTATACTATTGTTTCAGAAAAAGGAGAAGGTTTGGTACCATTAAAACGTTTAATCCCGCTGCAAATGTTTGCACCTGTCCTAAGTCAGGAATCTGATTACAGTAGTTGTCGTCTGTTTATGTAGTTCATACGTGTTTCTCGTTTCTCGTTTTTATATAGATTAGACCGTTGATTTTTCCGTTTGAATGGTTTAACACTAGTAATATTTTGGGGCCCTTTATAGCTTGCTGTTCGGTGTGAGCCAATGCTCCGTGTTGAAGGCCGTACCTTGACCTATAATGGTTTACTCTAATAAATTGTAACTTGGATGGAGAGTTGTCTCATTGGCACTCATACCACATCTTCCTATATCTATATATATATATATGATCCGTTCATCCTATTTTGACTCCTCAAAATTCAAGAGTCTATCCTAAATTGAGGTAAATTGTTGGGCTTTCCAAATACCGTTTCGATTCCTAATATCACTGAAGAGACATTATTTGTCGAAATTCGGATATGGTGTACAAAAACCTTTGCACCTTTTGTTTGCGGTATATCATCTTTTCCGCAAGTTTATTGTTTTCTGTTTAGTATTAAATTTAAAATAAATATCCATTTATTACATCGGTGATCCGTTAATTTGGCAATCGCCAATGGCAGTCAGCAGGGTTTAAGAACATTTGTTGTTCGACCTGTTAGTCAAATGCGTTTTGTTAATATATACTTTTTCACTTTTTTGGTCTTTTGGAAAATGTTGTTTGTGCTGTAT